AAATAAGTGTAAAAATATACAAATCAGCTATACTATTGGTATAATAGAACGCAACAAGTCATTCCAACACCAGCTATGTTTGCCCCAACACCTGCTCTACAATGAAAACAGGTCTGTCTGGGTGCTACTAGAGTCCCCACTAGATAATTGCAATGGTCCAGTCTGGCCTTAGAATATATGAATCACTCTAGCGTCTGAACACCTTACAAACATTAGTGAATTTATTCTCATAACCCGTCAGTCAGACAGAGAATTATTCTAATCATTTTACAGAAAGGAAATAGATGAAGTTACTTGCCCAAGGTCACATAGGGAGTCTATGGCAGATCCGGGAACCCAAATCTCCAGAACCTTAATCACAAACTCATTCTTCCTTATTATTAGCAACTAAAAGGCCATTCCGTTATAAGAATTAAAGCGAGGGTGGGAGGAGGGGCAGGTGAGCTTCCTGAATAGAGCTTTCAGAGTAACAGCCGTGTTAGTCTGTATTCGCAAAAAGCTGTAGCTCACGAAAGCTCATGCTCAAATAAATTGGTTAGTCTCTAAGGTGCCACAAGTACTGAATAGAGCTTGGCTTTCTTTGAACGTTAACTACTTCTGACTCATTGTATCCACCCTATGCTGCCTGATGCATGTAGTGTAAGCAGTGCCCGTAAATTTACTACTGCAATAAAGGGCTTGTTTTAATTCACTGCGAACGGTGTCCATCAAGATATTTATACCCCTGCTATGCCATTAGCATGGTATCTGAGTGCTGCAAAATCATTTGTGACACTGTAGTTAGTTAGGTTGGGTCAACATTTCATTTTCCCACTATTAACAAGGGTTTATTAATTTAGCTGTAAAAACGTATTGTGGGCCGCAGCTTGGTGCAAAAGATCTTGGCTCCGTCTTTTTTCATTCCAATGAAAATGTGCTGTCTGCTCACACTTTCACTTAAAATTTCCTTTTACAAGTGTATTCTGTGGCACAGTTTGCAGCCTTGTAATTTAGACCCGTTTTGTTTTGTTTTGTTTTTTTTCCCCCAAGGAGCTAATGCATTTCATAGTTGGAGTTCCTTTCTTCTTAAATTTACTTGAAAAATAGGTCTTTAAGGCCAACAGATTTCTGGATGTGTATGTTAAGCTGTTGGGCTTGACACAACAGATTTAAAGGCGCTTTGAGAACTACTTCCATGCCAAATGCAGTCCGCTACCATTTTCCTCTTCATTACAGAGCTTGTCCCCCAAAAACTATTGGTCCCAGCATGCTCCACCTTGATGTTTGTGCCCTGGCTGCATTATATCCTGGGATTTGCAGGTTGTCCTAACAAGCAGCCAGTGTAGCTCTCCCATTGCCTGTATCAGTTTTTTGTGGGCTTTGTAAGTGCAGGCTAAGGGCAAAGTCCTTGCTTTTCTTTTCTTACTCATTCTTATTGAGTTGACAGGAGTTTTGCCTGTGTAAAGACCTATGGTTTGGCCCAGTGTACTTATTCTCTATCTCCTTATTACATTACTGAAATGTTCAGCCCATCTGGAGATATTGTAGCTTTTTAAATAAACATTTTAAAATTAGTGCATTTAAAATTACCAAAATGTTTATTCCGTGGGGCTGTCACGGCCTGTTGGATAAAGAATGCAAACTTTCCAACCTAATATGCCCCAAATCTGTCTTCTCTGGAAAACTTTTACTGTCTCTTGGGTAAATAAATGCAGATACTTGTTTACCCAAACTCTAAATAACCATGCACACACTAAATACATTGTACCAGGGGAACTATGGGTCTCTTGTAAGAGCATGCGGGGCCAAATGCAGCCTGGAGACTCCTAAAAATGAGCCTGGAACTGCAGGAGGATGAAGCTTCTCCACTGAAGTTGTGTAATCTAGTGAATTCAACCGCCATCTTTCAAGGAAGAGAGAAATGCAAATACTTATGTCTGAGTGCATTTATTTTTAAAATGTAAATTTATACACCAATCAGGTAGTGGCACTGCAGCTTGGCCTGCAAGGGCCACATTTGAAATAGTGGGGTACCCCTAGTCTCTTGGGTTTTCTGTCATAATCTGTTTTTTTTTCTCCCCTGCTTGATGCCTATTTAATGTTTATATCGCACTAATAACCCAGAAACTCCTAACAAGGCCTTGATCTTGATGTCGTAGCCTCTGTACAAACACATTTAAACACGTGATCCTTGCCCCAAAGAGCTGCCAATCTACATCTTCTTAATTTGGGGACAGGAGGGAAACAGCCAACTTCAGGCTGAAATAACACGGAGGATGTGACAGATGCTGATGGAAGCAAATTAAATATTAAAGCTGATGCTGTGGCTGTAACTCATTGTTTGGTTTTTGTTATCCTCCACTTACTTTTCCCTCTGTGTTAAATGACATGATTTAGGACTGAAGTGCCAGCTTTCAGCCTCTAGGTTTTGGTGTTTGGAAATATACGTGGAGAGATATATTGTGTCTCTGAGCATTTATGTGTAGAGGAAGAGAGCACTCCAAAGCCTGTAAGACCACATAAAGATGTTACATAGAGCTGTAATGCAGAACAAAAACATGAAAAGTGCCCTAAAAATTCCCAAGATGGAACAAGACACGATAACTGGCAATTAAAATAAATTCTAGGGTACCAAAGCTGCAGAACCCAAATCACAGTTGACTAAAAGGCCTGGCTCTTCCAGAGTGTGGCATAGTTTTTAGGTGGCTACAGAGATCTCATTACTGAAGCACACTGAGCTATAATGTGATGTTACCACACTTTCTTTAAAACTCATTGCCACATAACCATCCTTTATGGAAAATAAATACCCTTGATTCCCACTCCCAATGGCTTCTAGTCTTCTTGCTGCTGCTTGCAGTCTCGTCAGACTTTAAAAAAAAAAAAAAAAAAATCTTTCCACTTTTTTACCTAGCACCAGATTGTAGTGTCAAAGAAACAGGACTTGGACCTGTGGGGTTTCATTTTTGGTGTAACTGCATTTTTACCATGTAAAGCCACTGCTGAAATAGTGGCAGTCTTGCTTCTAGATACAGATTTGAAACTCCTTTCCCCCTGCCCACATGTATTCTTTCTTTCCCTCCTTGTCTTAACCTACTTATTTTCCTCATACAACTGCTTGTCATTGTCTCTCTGGGGAAGAGCAGGACTGGCAGCTGAGTATGTTAGAAGCATACCAGTAAATGGTCAAAAGCAGCCTGCCAAAAAGACCACCCCTGCTTTATGGCATGATTTAAAAAAATGCTGGAAAAAACCCTTTCCCTCTTGAAAAAACAAACCCACCTACACAGGCTGAAAATCGTGAACAGTAAAAACCTTTTTCAGTCTTTTAATTTTTCTCCTCCGTCCAGTATTTTCTCAGCATAAATTAATTCGGCAGATGTAGCTTCAATTGAACATTGAAACAGGATCTGCTTGGACATCATTAGGTTTCAGGTGGCTTCTCAAACTTTGAAGAGAGGGTACCTCAGGAAGAGGACAAATATATTTGTTAAACTATTGAGAAATATTACAGGGGGAATGTGGAGAGTAAATAAGGTGGCATTCATACTTAAATCCAGTATTTTACAAACTTCTAGAGGTAGAAACCCTTTTGATAGAACTACTAAAATGCTTTCAGGACCAACAAATTTTTTAAAGCTGTGACTATGGACCACCGTTCACAGACACTTTTGAGACACCGTTTGTTTGAGGGATGTTCTACAAAATATCTTCTATTATAATAAAGGAAAAATAAACTTTTTTGTTTTGTGTAAACATTAATACCTATGTTTCTCTTTCCCTCCACTATTATAAACCTCCTCTCAGCAATGCTTATTAAGGAAAGCTGCAGAGTCAACATGTAGCTTTCAGGGACATGCATCTACTTGAAAAAGAATCTAGACCCAAATGAGCATATAGAGATCAAACTACCGGTTTGCGCTTTAGCTAGTTCACAGAAACAGGTGTTCTTTTTCTTTTTCTTTTTCCTTTTCCCTTTCCTTATAAAATTCTCTGCGATGCAGCAGCTATGTCTAAAAGCAAGAGAATGTTAGAACAATACTGCACAACTACTGGATGAATAAAAATCCTGCAGTATGGCCCCATGAAATGCTCTGAAGCTAACAGTTTGTCGCAGTCTATTAGGAGAGGCGCAATCCATTCTCTGGTCTTTATTATTATTTAGCTTAACTCTTTCTCTCCTTTTGTACCTTTTATTTCAAAAAGGCAGAAATTGAGACAATGATTTAAAAAACGAGTCTGCACGTAACGCTCCTCCAGGAACAAGAAGGGGGTGAATCCCTTTGTTTGGTTTTAAATGAGACTGCTGTATCCCCAATACTCCCCTTATCCTCTTGAGCTATTGAAGCAAAGCCAAGTTCAGTAGCAGCACCCAAAAGCCCTTGCATGCACTTTTATTCTGTAATTATGCTGCAGGTGGAATTTAGATGGCATCTTTATTGCGCTTGAAATGTGTCCTCCTGGTTCTGTGGGAGCAGCATTTGTGCAACTGTGCTCCTCCATGCCGTTAGAAATAGCCATTGGGCATCGATCTCAGGCAGTCTCGCTCTGTCCTGCTCCATAAAACCTGGGCCCGAATTGCCTTGCGGATGCCAGTTCCATTACACATGATCCAAGATGTTAACTGATCCCCCTAATAGTGAATAATTTATCTCTCCATTAGGCAGTAATAAAGTGGTACACTTCACAGAGCACTGCGGTGAGAATAATTTGCATTTCCTCTTTTGGTTACAAGCGACTGCATGGCCCCCACCATTTTTTTTTATATTTAAAATTTGATTGTTCAAAATATTTTTCCCTGTTCACCAGAAGCCAACATAATGGCTTTTTCATTTAGAGCGATGTGCTCACATGCCGCTTCTCAAACAATCTGTCCTGTTCTGTTTTTGCTTAATGCTATGTAGCGATTATGTTACAGCCTCTCTCAGGTGGCTTTCTTCCCTCCCTTTCTCCACCCCACCTCCACTGCAGGAAGTACCATAAAATGCATTTATTCACTCTTTTAAATTGTTTCATTTCAGAGGTTTACAAACGAGGACCACCTGGCGGTTCATAAACACAAGCATGAGATGACATTGAAATTTGGTCCTTCTAGAACCGATTCAGTCATCATAGCAGGTATGTGCTGCTCAATCCTGGTCAGCTCTGAAAATGGTGCACATTAATATAGCCTGACTGTAAGATTAATACCAGGGACCAGATGTACTGAAAAAGTCTCTACCGCCCATAAAAAGCTCTTGTGATCTGCATTTAATCAGGGGGAAAGGAAAGCCAGAGGCTGCTTCCAAGTTTCTACTTTTTTCATTTTTTATGGTAGTATCAGGTTTTGTAGGATTATTTTTTTTTTTTATACTCACCCTTTTTATCAAGACTCTGGAAGATTTACAGACAAAAGGTCTTTCACATTTCTTCATGCACTTTGAGGATGATGAACAAAAGCCGACAAACTCAGTTTCCTCTCCTCAGCCCAGGTGTCAATTTTCTTGAGCTTTTAGGCTGGCAGTTAATAAATTAAAACTCCATCTAGTGCATTGGCTACTGCCGAGAGTGCATTTGTGAAGCCCAAATGAGTTGCTCTGGAATTACTCTACGTAGTCCATGCAGCCTTTATAAGATTTGAGAAAAATGTACATGGCTGTCTGGCAGCGGATCATTGCCAGTTATGGATATTCTCCCACCCTGTCAATCCTCCTGCATTTTGGTTTCTTAAAAGGGGGCAGGGATTGTGTCACACATTGAATGAAACTGCTGTTATATTGAAAATGTGAAGGGAGGAGGAAATCTTTTTTCTTTTCTTTTTTAATTTTATTTCAAAGACTTCATGTGAGAGCCCAGTTTGATTTCTCCTGGGGGCAGAGGGGAGCTCACTAAATGGACAAACACTGTCACTAGATTTGGGGCTGAGGAAAGCAGTTGTAACTCAATCCACTTCTTACAGCCATGCGATTAATCACTACATAGGGTGGATCTTTATTGAGTTTATCTACTTTGGGGAAATTTGTGGTAAAGGCAGAAAATGCTTCCTAGTGGGGGACATATTGTAGTATCCATAGAGAAGTGTTGGAATAGTTGTAAATCAGATTGTATAGAACCCTGGCCAGGAAATGCTGGGATGAATATTGAAGATACTTGGATAGTATTCCTTTCATTCTGTGAAGTTGGAGGCTAAGGGAGACTGCATGGTGCGCAAAGAATGTTCTTTCTCCATTGCCCTACCTCCCCAAAAGGGATATGGAGGACAGGTTGTAGTTTTCATTTGATAACTCTGAAGTATAAACTGGCCAACCAGTGATTTGGGGGTTGCAAATTAATAATGATCAATTACGTTTTAGATTTTCTCAGCTCTGACTAAGGTCCTATCTACACTATAGAAAGAAAAGTGTAAATACAGGATTCTGTTTCTGTTAGCGGTGTCATGATTTAGAATGTATCTTGTTTCCTGGGTGAGCAGAAAGTCTGTTATAATCATCCATGTTGTACCATAGGTCTTGACTCATTTTTCTAATGCAATAATAATAGGGTTTTCTGTCCATTCAAGAATACAAGAAAAATAGCATTACACAGCTACATCACACCTGACTCTAACTGAGATTCATATTGGCACATGGTTCTTTCTGTCTTGCAGTCTGAAAAGATTAGGCTGTAGAACTGCTTGTCTACACAAGTAAGTCTTCTCTTCACTTCTAAACAGGATGTATCTGTTGGTTTTTTTGTAAACCTCGGAGTAGCTAATGTTTGAGATATCCCAACATAAAACCACAGTGAAGGCAGGGCACTTTCATTTTTACTTTGAGGTAAAATAGGTGAGAAAAGCAGTATACCCATCCTTGGGATTGACCTTGTTTACTTTGCCGTAAAAATGAAGTGCTGGTCTTCACTGTGTTTACCACAGCCCTGTACTCATTAGTTACCCCAAGGTTTAAAAAAAACACACACACACACTTTTTTTTAGCCGTGAAAACTGGACCTAAAACATGCAGAAAAGACTGAGTCATGTCTTAACACTGTGTGGATACCACTGCATTGCAACCAGGTCCAAAAGCCTTTTCTGTTTGATATTTATGTGGTAAGTAAAGGACTGTTGGTAGGGCCCTCCCAAATTCATGGCCCTGAAAAACACATCACAGACTGTGAACTCTAGTCTTTTGTATACTTTTACTCTATACAAAACAGATTACACGGGGTAGACCAGCGTTTCTCAAACTGGGGGTCCTGACCCAAAAGGAGGCTGGGGGGGGGTGTCACAAGGTCATTGTAGGGGGGTCGTGGTATTGCCACCCTTACTTCTGCACTGCCTTCAGAGCTGGGTGGCCAAAGAACGGCAACCGCTAGCCAAGGGCCCAGCTCTGAAGGCAGCAGCACAAAAGTAAGGGTGGCAGTATTGTGACCCTCGAACAATAACCTTGCAACCCCCTCACAGCCCCTTTTGGGTCAGGACCCCTACAGTTACAGCACCGTGAAATTTCAGATTTAAATATCTGAAATCATGACATTTACCATTTTAAAAATCCTATGACTGTGAAATTTACCAAAATGGACCATGAATTTGGTAGGGCCCTAACTATTGGAGGTCTTTATGAATACCGAAGAGCACATTAGTTATAAGCAGCTGGATCTAGGACAAAGCATAATTTCCTGTGTTCATAAATCCTTCGTAGGACAAACACCATTTACAGAAATGTTGACCCTTCCTTTTCTTATTGATAGCCCCTGTTTTTGTGCTGGGTAGTTGATACAAGGTGGCCTCCACTGAAAGACAGGAGGTACAAGTTATTTCTGTTTCAGCAACTCTGAAGTAAAGCAGAAAAGGGCTGTTTTCCTTAAGCTTCCATCATCAACAAGCAAACAACTTTCTGCTTGATAGATTCAAACAGAATAATATGCTAGTGATGGGCTCCTGTTAATAACTGGACTACTGACTAACGTCACAAGCAAAAATGAAACTGACTGGGTGATGTGTTCTGGATAATCAGGAGACTTTCTGCTGTGTAGACTGAGCTTCAATTACAAGCTGAATTGTGGCTCCATGGCCAGCTATATTAATATTGTAGCAAACTGGCCATTTCAGTCTTGCAGAGAGATGATTATAGTGAACTAAGGTGCTGGTGGAGGTAATTTGCACTTTTATATGGCCCTCCATTCCAAGGATTTCAGAGTAACTTTGTGCACGCTGATTAATCCTCAGCAATTCCTGTGAGCTGAGCAACATCCCTATTTTAGAGATGGAGACACTAACGCACAGAGAGGGTTAGTGACTTGCCCAAGTTCACACAGCAAGTCAGTGCCAGGGCAGTTACTTTAAAAATCACAGTACCATGAGGAATTTCTGCTTCTTCAGACTATTCTTTTTTTTTTTTTATATATATATCTATCATCTTGAGGGTCATGCACAAAACATTCTGCTTCCCTGCAGCACCAATTCAGCAACAAGTACCCTGCACTGATGCCAGGGTAAGCCCTGTTTTTAAATAAGGAAGGTGCAACAATACATTGTTTTCAGTTGTAGTGATCTCAGTGCAATTTGAAATACGTTATTTTTGTTAATGCCACAATATTTGCTGAAAGGACAAAATTAACAGAAAAGTATTGTCGCTTGCTTTGTGAACACAAACAAAAATCCTAGATGAAAAAATCCAAGCTTCCTAAAATAACACAACTGAATCTAAATGTTAGGTGTATATTCCTGGTCTGTCTTGTCCTGTGAGATGAATAGAGTGGTTAAAATTAATCCTGTGACCTCACTTTGATTCTTTTGGTTTTTTTTGTTGCAATCTGAACAGATCAGACTCCAACTCCAACCCGTTTTTTGAAGAACTGTGAGGAGGTGGGGCTCTTCAATGAATTGGCCAGTTCCTTTGAGCACGAATTTAAGAAAGCCACAGAGGATGATGAGAAAAAGGCAAGAGGCAGAAACTACCATTCCAGTAAAACTGAAACATTCACAGATTGTAGGGGCTGAAGGGGGAATTATGTTGTTCTGATGAAAGGCATATGTTGTAGGGTAACGAAGTGTTGTTGTCTCATAGATTTAATACGCTCAATCACATAATTTATTTAGTAACTTGTGTGACTCTGGCTGTGCTACAGTCTGAGTCCCAGTTAGATCTGATTTTTAATAACCTTTTGTTACTACAACTTCCCCCCAACCCCCGCCTTTTTTTTTAAAGCAGTACCCACAATATCTGATCTCACATGTCCTGGCAAAGGAATGCCTGAGAAGTACAAGTACCTTGTTAACCACTTAGGCTCTGATCCAAAGCCCACTGGGCATCTCTTCATTGATTTCAGAATCATTAAAGAGCAGTTCCCAAAGCTATGTCTTAAAGGCATGGTTGTGGAAATAACCTTTTTGACCATGTTCTGCCTTTCCTGTCTCCAAAGGATAGGAAAGAGGCCAAGCTTTTGTTGCGTACTTCTTGAGTTCTGAACAGTTGCATGCTGCATACAAATAGAGTGGAGGTTCCATGACAGAGTAAGAGTTTATAGATCTAGAAGACAGCAAGATCTCAAGCAACTTAAGAGATTCTTTCCAACCCCTTCCATCACTGAATAGCAGCTGATGCATATTGTACAACTGCATTGGTATTTTTTAGACTGGCTTTTAAGTTTATGAAATTGGTATATGTATGTACATTTGTACATACACGCGCAATTGGCAGCTGTGTTCAGAAACACGGCTGCATAAATCTGTTCAAATATAGCAAGTTCAGAGTTAAAGTAGAAAATTTTGTCATTCGCTCACTCATTGAGTACCAGGTGTCTTTCAAACATTTGTTGATCTTGCATCCTGCATGTGCTGCAGGCCGAGGCACAGTGCGGTGGCGTGTCATGCTTAACTCTGAGTTCCCTGCCTTTCATTAGCTACAGCCCAGAACTTCAATATTCTTTGAGGGTAGCTAGATTTTGTGGTTTTGTGTATAAATGGTTGAGCAACCCACAGTCTAGCCAGTCATTTTATATGTAAGACCACCCATCTCCTATGCTGCCTAATAGTGATAGTTAGGATTCTGAGACTTCTGGGTGTTTTTGCTTTTTGCCTTTTTTTTTTTTTTTTTTAAACTGCAGTCAAGATATTTCCAGCAACAGCCAGGAGAATGCAGCAACTCAAAGCTTTGGCTGGCTTCAGGCGTAGGGAAAGAATTATCCCTCCTAGAAGGGCCCTGCGCAAACTAGAGCTCAGACCCAGATGGTTTGTCGCTCAGTGAGCCTGGCTAGAGATGCATTTGTGAGATGCTTTGAACACTTTGCTAAGTTGAGCCCAGTTACTGCTGTTTTGTTTTGTCCTGCTGTTCCAAGGGTGGCCTGGACACCAGCATGTGCATGTTAATTAAAAACATTGGCATAGTGGGGGCTCCCGTGGACACGTTTTAAGTGGTTTGAAATGTTCCTGAATTTTAATCCCTTCTCTTCTGTGATTTAACAGTGAAACGTCCCTGCTTAAGAGGGCAAGTAAATGGTTACTTCATGTATTGAAGGCAAGGCTGCTGCATAACTCGGCTATAACAGGGGCCCTCTAGGGCAATGCCATTCAACTAGAGAGATGGCTCATCAGGGAGAAGAGCCATAGATGCCTATTTTGACTCTATTTCAATTCCCCGTCCCACCATGTTAGTGTCCCCCCTGTGACTTGGCTTTTTGCCACTCAGACACATCTTCTCTCTCTCCTCCTATTCCTTGATGCCTGCTGCAGAGGCTTGGCTACTTAGCTCTCCCCTGCAGACTCACGTAAGAGCTGCTTCTGATGTCCCTGGCCTTTATGGGATCCATGAACTCCATAAGAGCTAGGGTACTGAAGGAGCCACATACAACTCTAGAGCCACAGGCTAAGTGTCTCTTGCCTTTAGAACGGGGTGGGCAAACTTTTTGGCCCAAGGGCCACATCTGGGTATGGAAATTGTATGGCGGGCCATGAATGCTCATGAAATTGGGGGTGGGAGGGGGTGAGGGCTCTGCGGTGGGGCTGGGGATGAGGGGGTTGGGGTGCAGGAGGGTGCTCTGGGCTGGGACCGAGGGGTTTCGAGGGCGGAAGGGGTTCAGGCTCCAGGCAGCACTTACCTCAAGCAGCTCCCAGAAGCAGTGGCATGTTCCCCCTCTGGCTCCTACGCACTGCCCCGTCCACAGGTGCCGCCCCTGCAGCTCCCATTGGCCATAATTCCTGGCCAATAGGAGCTGCTGGGGTGGCGACAGGGTGTGGAGCCCCCTGGTTGCCCCTTTGCATAGGAGCTGGAGTGGGGACATGCCACTGCTTCTGGGAGCCAAGCAGAGCCACGGCACGCGCGGAGTGGGGCAAGCCCCCAACCCCGCTCCCTGGTTGCAGTGTCGGAGCAGGACAAGCCCGAGACCCTGCTCCCCGGAAGGAGCTCGAGGGCTGGATTAAAACGTATGAAGGGCTGGATGCGGCCTCTGGGCCGTAGTTTGACCACCCCTGATTTAGAAGTCTGCACTGTACACAAAAAGGCCCCTGTCCCTTGACAGGTCTGTTTTTGTTGTTTGCCTGCATGTGCCACCAACTAGGAGGTTCCCTCATGCTGTCATGAGTGCGTTTGCCTCACCCTTCTTCTGGGCAGAGTCTGGGGGAGCTAAGAAATCATTGCTAACTAGTTAAAATGGGGCATATAGTACCCTTGTAAACTGGTGTGCTGGTGGGTTGCCAAATTCAAGCATATGGTTAGGTTTTATTTTAATGGGGTGCTCATAGGTATTTAATAACTTGCATGGCTCTTTGTTTACTTTTGATGATTGGTCAATAAAATAATTGAGGCTGATTTATACAATGCTTTACAGCTCTTCTGTGAGTGAAAGTGCCTTCTGTAACTTGCAGGCATTTGATTTTGTTACCTGTTCTACTTAGCGGAGCCTTTTTACTAGTAATAAGAATTCCATGTGTATGTGTTACTGAGGAACCACAAAGCACTGGCCTTCTGGCCCAGGGGATGTCTGGTTTTTGTTCTTTGTTTGTACAGCACCTACCACCATGGGGCCCTGGTCCAGGACTATGGTTTCTGGGTGCCATGGTAATGCAAATAATTAAAAAAGCCTTTGATAAGTGCTGCTAGGTGCAGCTAAGCAGTGGCCCTGGAAACTAGTTGTGTGTTTCACTAGTGGTATGAAGTAACTTTCATTTAATGATTTAATCTTTTCCCGTTAGAATGCTGGACCTCTGGACATGTCTCTGCCCTCAACCCCAGACATCAAAATAAAAGAGGAGGAGCCAGTTGAGGTGGATTCTTCCCCTCCAGACAGTCCTGTATCCAGTCCTCAATCCCCACAGATCACAGAGAAGGTAGGTTTCCTGGGCCATTCCCACTGGCTGTAATTTACCTCTTTCACCAGGAGAACTGATTCTAACTACGATAGAATAAGCTCTTTCTTCACTTAACTGTCAAGGCTTGAGTTGAAGGTTCTGTTCCCCTCCTTAAGCAGGAGAGTGAAGAACTGATTTTACATTAAGACAGATTGTCGTCCTTAAGTTTCCACATAAATTCCAAAAATGAACTGCTACCTTTTTTTTAAAAAAAAAACTGAGAAGTCACGTTCCTGGGGAGGCTGGCATCGTACTATCGGGGGTAAATCTGAGGGGTTTTTGCAGTCACTGGGGCATGGGTGATCAAGCCTTGTGGTTGGAGCAGGAGCTATGCCTAATGGTCAGAGCTGAGGGTCAAAACCAAAGACCGCATCAGCTACCAAGCCAAAGGTCAGAGCCGGAGACAGTCAGGTGCCAGGCCAAGGGTCTGAGCCGGAGACAGCGTCGGGATAAGGCAGAGGAGCAGGAACTGGGAGCACACGGGATGGGAAGATAGGAACCAGGAGCAGGCAGGGAAGCAGGAACTGGGAGTAGGCAGAAATGCAGGGCTCAGGAGTCAGGTAAGCAGAAGGGGTCCGCAGTGGCAGCTAACTAAGGATTCCTCTAGTTGCTCGGACAACTTCCTGTTTTTACGTCCTGGTTCATATTGTACTCCTTACCCAATAGGGGAGCTTTGGGGGCAGGCTAGTCCTTCTCTGGATCTTTCGCTAGTTACTCAGGTGAGCTGCTGGGTTGCAGTTGTGGCCTGAATGCTACCTGTGGGCCTAGGTTTGAGGACTGGGATCCCTCACAGGTTTCTTCAGATGAGAAGAATCACTGAATAAGTTAAGCAATTTTTATAGGGATGGGTCCACTGTGCCCTGGTGATTGTTGTAGTGGCCTAGAACATGCACTTATAGAATAATATAGGTGGCAAAACTGCTGGTTGCATAATTACGCTTTGTACGTATTCCAGCTTGGGCTGGAGCCACTAGTTTTTAGAGGAGGAGGAGGAGTGTCTAACAATTTCTGCAGGACTCTGGGGGTCGGGACTTTGGGGTTCTATTCCTGGCTCTGCCACTGAATCACTGTGACCTTGGGTAAGTCCCTTCCCCACTCTGTGTCCGTTTCCCTATTGGGGTGTTGTGAAAGTTGGTTTAATGTTTCTGAATCACTCAGATACTCAGAAGAAAGATGTGAGAGAAGGGCACATTATTACGATGAGGCTGATAAAGTATGTCCTTACTTTTGTTTGTTGATTCTCTTTAGGAGATCACTTCAAAGCCTGTTATAATTTCTACTCCTACTCCAACCATCATGCGTCCAGGGTCACTGCCACTACATTTGGGATATGACCCGCTACAACCCACTCTTCCCTCCCCTACCTCTGTCATCACCCAGGCTCCACCTTCCAACAGACAGCTTGGGTAAGAAAGATGCTAAGACTTGACCAAGATTTTAAAAATTTGGTGTCTAAAGTCAGGCTTTTAATTCTGTATTTAAGTGCCGAAATGTGACCTGATTGTCAAAAGCGCTGAGCTATGTGCAACTTCCACTGCAGTTCCATGTATAACTGTAAACGCTGTCATGAGAACTAGTTATAACATAAATTAAACATTTATGGGGCAACCCCAGGGAAAGAAAAACAGTCCAGTCCTGATATCCTTCCACTGGCAATACCTTCACTGCCTGTAATATAGGAGGTTTGCCCAGCTAAGGACTTCAGAACGTACTTTCACAGATTCATTTTGCCAGAGGATCATGAGTTGCCTTTGCTACCTGATTAAAAGGATAAGACTTAGATAAAACTGCAAAGTTGTTGAATCTTTAATAGCTTTGGGGATTTTCCAATACAGCTGGTGCTTCTGAAGTGAAACCTCTACAACCTTTTGGCCTCCTTCAAAGTCGGGTTTTGCTTCTGTAGCTGTTTGTTTTCAGATAACCCAATGATCTGCTCTTCTTGCCGCTGGAATAATCTAGACTCGAGGCTCAAGGGCATGCAGTGAAGTGGTTATGAGCGCATTGCATTGTGGGGTAGTTTCAACTTTATATATAAAAGGAAGGCGCCTAAATGATCCAGGAAATACATTACAATGGGCCTTCAGGAGAGGTATATTTAGCCCTTGCTCTGTTCTTTGGTGTCAGGATGCTTCTGTTGTGCCATGGTTGTTACTTCTTTCTAATTACCCTCTTTGGATCTGGGTCTTTGCATTAACAAGGCCATTTTTTTGGCTGCCAATTCATATTTTTGTGTGTTTGTTTTGACCCCTTGGCACCATCAGTCCAGACTTCCTGACGGAAAGTTCTAAATCCTGTCTCCAGGCACCCTAAGGGTTAAATGATTGTCTTTGTGTTTTGAAAGAGTATTGTGTTTGTTTTCCATAAACTAGACTCAAGCTCAGGTGTAATGCTGTCTTCTGGAATTGAAGCACCAGAGCATTGCCCTGCTTGGAGAAATAAAATGAGAACAGTCCATGTATTGAAGCTACAAAGTTAGGCCTGTAGTGCAACTCGCAGGGATGTCAGTGGGACAGAGAATGAGGGCAGGGTATGAACTTTCTGTAGCTAAACTTTTACACTGGGATTTTCAAAGTGGCCTGAAGGATCTGGATTCCCAGATTCTATGAGAATTGAATGTCCAGATTCCCTACATGGCTTTGAAAGTCCCACCCCTAGTCGGTAAAGGTATGAACTTGAATCTGGCCCAATTTACCCCTGTGACTTTCACTCCCATCCCATCTCGCCATTACCTCAGCACAGAACCCACAGTGTAAATGTTCTTAGCTTAGCCAGCAGCGGCCCATCATCCCTCTCATCAGGGCTAGGAAGAAGGGATGGTAGCAGTGGATTTTCTCGCCATTCCCCAGATGCCTGCTTAGCACCAGCCCTGCTCTTCCTCTCCTAGCTGTTCTCTCTGCCTCTATCTTATGCTGTCATGAGCAGGGGAGGAATAGGAGAATCTCCCATAATAAAAAATAGGGGAAAATGCAAGGAGAACAGTTTTTTTTGTCTCCGCTCTGTCCTGACCATGTCAGTTCAGAAGCCACTCTTTCTTCCCTCTCCCACACTCTTTGGACAGGGACTTTTCAAATGGTGGGCCCAGGCATGGTGGAGTCAGAGGGAGAGAGGACATTACTGCAAGTCATCATTTTAAATAGTAGGTTTCAGAGTAGCAGCCATGTTAGTCTGTATCCGCAAAAAGAAAAGGAGTACTTGTGGCACCTTAGAGACTAACACATTTATTTGAGCATAAGCTTTCGTGAGCTACAGCTCACTTCATTGCCCGATGAAGTGAGCTGTAGCTCACGAAAGCTCATGCTCAAATAAATTCTTTAGTCTCTAAGGTGCCACGAGTGCCGCAAGTACTCCTTTTCTTTTTTCTTAAATAGTAGTGCACTCTACGATTGAGGCAGGCTGCCCCCATCCCTTATTTGTCACTGCATTCAGAAGCTGGATGAGCACATTAGCCGGGTGTTTCTGCAAAATGATCAGCAGGGGGAAAGGTTGTTGGCATTTTTACCTGTCGTTATTAGGCTTCAGCGTAAACACCCCTTGGCAGTGAATGGAGCTCTTCATGTTTCTCAGACCTACTATCTCAGGCGTTCTGCAAACAGAGCTGTCTGTTTAGGATGTTTTCTCTGAGGGTTAGCAGTGTTTTTAAATGAAAGTTAAATTAGTGCACAACCTCATTCTGCCTTGAGGGCTGTATTAATGCATCTGTCTAGCCAGAAATTTATCAGTATGTAGGAATAGTTGATCTAGTACCCCAGCCTGCCTCGTGCTTCTGTGGATATGCCAGTAGAGGGCACCAGAGCAGCAGCAGGACTCCACTGAATAGCCCAGCAGCTACAGCAGAGCATCAAGGGCACTTTTACGTGTCCTGGTGAGTAAGCCCATGTGCCGGCATGGAGTGTTACATCGCTCCCCTGAAACCTGTGACTGAAACCCAGCATTGGTTCTGTTTGCTTTGCTGTGTGTTTTGGAGCAGAGCTTCTGTTTGCACTGGCACAGGGAGAACTCACGGTGGACTAATTCCTCCTCCTCCTCCTCCTCCTAAAACAGAGAGCTCAATGTGTAATATTTGGTTATCCTCGCCCTCTGTTCAAATGTGTCCAGCTTATTAAAGTCCAACATCCCTTCTTAGGGGCATCTGGTCTTTGTGCTTTAACAGCCTTATGCTTTTTGGCAAGCAGGCCCGCAAGCTTACATAGAGGAGTTAAATAAGGAGAGTCGTAATTCTTCCATCAGCATGTCCTGCCAGCACCAAGCAACAAATGGTTGTCAGACAACTTTGCCTGGATACCCAAAATGTGATGTTAGCACACATCAGTTAATACATGTTAAGAATCTCAGGTAGACAAGGCAACGTATACTTGAACACGTGCTAAACTAGGCTTTAATTTGATCAATTTAGCACATGCTAAAGGCGCTGCACTTTGTCTATGCTAGACTTTTAAAACATGTAAGTTAGCCTGTGTTAGCTAACATAATGCCTTAAATCCTAGTCTAGACAAGGCTAGAAATTGCCTGTATCTTGGTGGGGTTGGGTGGGGGCTATTTAGTCTTGTCTGTACAGTATAAACTTGAATTGACATATGTGAGCTTGAATTGTGTTTCTCCAGGTCTCCTACAGGCTCCCTCCCACTTGTCATGCACCTTGCGAATGGACAGACCATGCCTGTCCTCCCTGGCCCTCCTGTACAGATGCCTTCTGTTATATCGGTAAGAGAAACTTCTAGCACATTCTCTGTGGTAAAGGAGGGGGCAGTTTTTCTCCTGCCCAACATATGCAGATGCTTTCATTTGCAAAATTAAAATACATCTACCCCTCTGTGTGAGATAAGCCTGAAGTGGAAGTGGGCAAGGGCTGATGCTAGCAAGGTAATAATAACATGCCAGTCACACTAGAGGCCAATAAGGCTGAAAAATAAAGCCTGGTCTGGGCAGATGGCTCACACCATTGATCCAGGACTGGGAACTGCAGGATTCCTGATTAGTTGGTTGCATTTGGAACGGAATGCCTCAGTTGAAACCATTCGAGCTTACAGAGAACATGTTAATCTTTGCAGGCCAGGAAAGCCGCCCCAGCCTGGGCAGTGCGCGAAACGGTAATTTATATTTAACACTGCAGGTTTTACTTCAGCCTAAGGAGAATTTTTCAGGGTATGAAATTCACAAATAAATATACCTTCTGGTGGGCTTGTGTGTGTTGAGTGAGTCAGCCTGTGCAAATCCCGTGTCTCCTGCTTGGCGGGTATTTTGTGTACTGAGTGAGTAATTACAATATACTAGTTCCTCAGGTAGTAGGACTGCTGAAGTTGCAATCCACCAGTGGGGATAGGGGAATGCACGTCTGAATGGCCAGTGTGCTAAGAATTTGGCATGTAGGACATCTCCGTATTTTCTTGAAGTATAACTCATGCTCCTAGCACCTTTCATCAAAGTATTTCAGTGTGTCTTATAAAACAGAACTAAAGCTCCATTTCCCCTGTTTAGGTAAGCCAGGCAAATATGCCTGCTTTACAGATGGGGAAGCTAAAACTTAACCAGGGTGGTGCTGCAAGTCCATGTTAGAACTGGGCATAGAACCCAGATGCCCCAGTTTTCCCATTCCTCTAATGGCCACCTGGCAGCATTGCACCCTTTGGGATACAGGTTTTCTGGGTGTGAGGGAAATGAGAGACCTTTCACGATATTTTGCCACCAAGTATATTTCGCTTTCTGTCCTCAGCTATTGGTTGCCATTGCTGTGTTCTCTTAAATAGCAGCTGTGGCCACCACAGAGGTGACTGCCCACCTTTGAGTGACTGACGAAACAATCCCCGTGGCCGTAGTTTATAAAGTTTGTCAAACGTTCTAGGCTCTCTGCATTAAAGATGCTTTGTCAAGTGATTATTATGATGCCATTTCATGCGGGACGCTTCCAGTAGCAATGACATAACTTCTCAAAATGTGTGTGCTGTTCTCTCTACATGTAGCTGGCTAGGCCAGTGTCCATGGTGCCCAACATTCCTGGTATTCCTGGTCCACCCATCAACAGCAGTGGTTCCATTTCACCATCAGGCCTTCCAGTGCACTCTGAGGCTAAAATGGTGAGTTCCAGAACATAGAGAGAAGCCTATTGACCTGTGCCGGGGAGATTGCTTTGGGGGATATATTCATAGAATTGTCGTAAAATCCTTCACTTATCTCCGTTAGACCCTCCAGAAAAGAGTGTGTTTAGAATCTCTGTACTCATGACCCACTCATCCTTCTAAACAGACACCAAAAGCTCTTGAATAGATAAGCCCAAATTAGTGAGCTTAGACTGCTCCCCACTGAAATCCTTTGCAGCAGTAAGAGTATCTTAAACCATTGTAGGAACACTGAGAGCAGGTGTTATAAATATATAAGAGTATTAAGTTGTTCTTCATTAAATCACTCAGCACCGCCCGTCTGTCATATGGACCTTACATATTATTGTCAAGGCAAAGATTCCTGATCCCATCTTAAATATGGGACATGTTGTAAAGCAGTGGATTCCTGTTCCAGTATGACAGATGGGGGCAGGGAGGAGAGAGCCAAGAGGGGAGCGGCTGTGGTGTAGTGATCTGGCAGAGTACTCTAGTAATGGTTTTCAGTGGGATGCTCTTCCAACTGTAGATTTATGAAGGAATTTCTTTCTCCGCCTCCCCGGCTCTTAGAGCACAAGTGCTCGGTGCACACAGGAGGAAGAAGGAAAGTAGGGATGAGGCGGAGGGAAAAGTAAGTTTGGATACAAAGATGGTGAAACCACGTTTGTCTTGCTGAAATAATATTAGAGTGGACTTGTTTGCAGTGAGGGCTTCCACGTTATTATGTGCTCCATTGCTGCAGTGACCTTGGTGCTTCCAGTAATGACTACTACAATTCCACACTAGCTAGGCATTTGCAAAGATTCATTCTGCATTCGTGTACTGAGCTGAAACTAGAACCATTGTGGGGGATAGGAGGGTAAGAATTCTTAAACTCTGTTATGTGTGTGTAACAATATGCCCATGCTTCAGTCTCCTTTCATCTGGGTCAGTGATTGTGTTAGTGAAGACCTCCCTTCTGTGTCCCTCCCCATGTGTCAGACCCACCTCTTAGCATCTGAAGGCTGTTCAGTCTCCACAGTCCATTTGGTCCATTGTCCTTCTGCAGAGACTGCCAGCTGGGGAGCTGATGAGTGCCAATTGCTGTAGTGATTTTGTGATGCAGACACCTGTCTGTTCTGAACTGGATTGAGAACCACCATCTATCTTCACGTGGGCCACCCAACACCTGCCACATGATAACAGCTTTTGGCTGGATTTGAATCCTCCTTTGAAAAGCGTGAAGAATAAGTTATGTTAGGGCCTGTGTCTCCGAGGCGAATGGAGAAGGCTGGTTAAAAGCACTGAATCCCATTGATAGTTTTGTTCTCTCATTTTACAGAGACTGAAGGCCAGCCTGACGCACCAGGTTTCTTCCTCACTGAATGGCAGCAGCATGGTTGTGGGGTCAGCAAGCACGATGGTGACCTCACGTCCAGAGCAGGGTCAGATACTTCTCCAGCACCCAGATGCACCTTCTCCCGCTCAGCCACAGGTCTGCTCCTTCTTAATCTTTGAAGATATGATGGCTTAAGATGATGATGGAGGAAGCAAAGATACTGGGAGTTCTAGTCTGCTAGGAAAGGAGTGGGGAATAACCTCATGAATCTGTCACTCTCTGCTCAGACCTATATGCTATCCAGAGCTGTGGGGTTTGGGGGTGGGGTTGTTGGGGGTTGGGGTTTAATGTGTGTGAAACACTCCTTTTTGTAGTTTCTGTTACCATCACTGTCAAACAGTGCAAGTTAGACTTAGGCAACAGGCACAGTTACTTGGTGTTCTAGAGTTTAGAAAGAGTGTTTTGCTGTCTTCTTTCCTTTTTAATTACTAGGGTTAAACACTCCCCTCTTAGGCAATCAACCCCACTTGCTCCTGCCAGCTAACCAAATGCCAGCCTTCCATCAGAACTGCCACCTGCTCCATCAGTTAGAAAGGCTTCCAAAAGTTTAATATCCATATGCTGTCTGACAGTGAGTAGTGAAGTGTAACTGTGCTCTCACATTGTGGCTGTGTAATTATAGAGCCTATGCAGTAGTGCTGGGAGGACTGAGTCTGGGGTGATTTGTCCTTGTTGGTTTTTCCTTTGTTCCCTCAGAATACAGCAGGAGATTGCAGTGTTACAGAATCCACTCTTAAATGCCTGTCAGACTTTGTACAATGATGTTAGAGCACAGCTGAAGATTGGCTGTGTTACACAAAAGCCCATATTCCCTTGCAATAGTGTCATGTATATCTGTAAAGATGGCTCTGTTGAGTTGTTTCCCTCTCACATTGTAACCTGTGGTAAGTTCCAACAATATGAAGCTGAATAGTCCTTATTTTTTTCTTTTTTTTAACTTTTTTTTGGCTGAGGCAGATGCTAGGGGCTGAATTCTAGTGCTGGTGGAAATAAGGATTAAACCAGACGTGTTCTGCAGGCTTCTCCCTCACAACTCCTCCCTGGCCACGGTTCCAACCAGCAGCATTGCCTCCTGCCCATCCATGATACTAACTCCGCTCCTCACCCTCCCAGCTTCCCTGCTGTTCTACTCTTGAGGCATTTGTCCTTGTAAATTGGGGTGGTGGCTTTGTGATATGGACAAATATCTACTGAAGATCAGTCTGAGGCAAATCAACTTCTTTTCACTTAATGAGCTGAGGTGGGATTTAAACTGTAGTCTCGCTAGAAAAGTGAGCATATTTAATCCACTACAAGAAATACTGTCTGGTTCCTCTCCTAAACCCATAATAATCTAATCATAGAATCATAGAATATAAGGGTTGGAAGGGACCCCAGAAGGTCATCTAGTCCAACCCCCTGCTCGAAGCAGGACCAAATCCCAGTTAAATCATCCCAGCCAGGGCTTTGTCAAGCCTGACCTTAAAAACCTCTAAGGAAGGAGATTCTACCACCTCCCTAGGTAACGCATTCCAGTGTTTCACCACCCTCTTAGTGAAAAAGTTTTTCCTAATATCCAATCTAAACCTCCCCCCACTGCAACTTGAGACCATTACTCCTCGTTCTGTCATCTGCTACCATTGAGAACAGTCTAGAGCCATCCTCTGTGGAACCCCCTTTCAGGTAGTTGAAAGCAGCTATCAAATCCGCCCTCATTCTTCTCTTCTGCAGGCTAAACAATCCCAGCTCCCTCAGCCTCTCCTCATAAGTCATGTGTTCTAGACCCCTAATCATTTTTGTTGCCCTTCGCTGGACTCTCTCCAATTTATCCACATCCTTCTTGTAGTGTGGGGCCCAAAACTGGACACAGTACTCCAGATGAGGCCTCACCAATGTCGAATAGAGGGGAACGATCACGTCCCTCGATCTGCTCGCTATGCCCCTACTTATACATCCCAAAATGCCATTGGCCTTCTTGGCAACAAGGGCACACTGCTGACTCATATCCAGCTTCTCGTCCACTGTCACCCCTAGGTCCTTTTCCGCAGAACTGCTGCCTAGCCATTCGGTCCCTAGTCTGTAGCTGTGCATTGGGTTCTTCCGTCCTAAGTGCAGGACCCTGCATTTATCCTTATTGAACCTCATCAGATTTCTTTTGGCCCAATCCTCCAATTTGTCTAGGTCCTTCTGTATCCTATCCCTCCCCTCCAGCGTATCTACCACTCCTCCCAGTTTAGTATCATCCGCAAATTTGCTGAGAGTGCAATCCACACCATCCTCCAGATCATTTATGAAGATATTGAACAAAACCAGCCCCAGGACCGACCCTTGGGGCACTCCACTTGATACCGGCTGCCAACTAGACATGGAACCATTGATAACTACCCGTTGAGCCCGACAATCTAGCCAGCTTTCTACCCACCTTATAGTGCATTCTTCCAGCCCATACTTCCTTAACTTGCTGACAAGAATAATATCCACCACTTGTCTAGAGATCTCCACTGTATGTTAAAAATATTCAAATCATCCTGACACCGAGATAGTCGCTCAGAACTGAAACTTCATTGTGCATCTAGGACATATTGCCCATCCATCAACACGTGTCACAAGATTCGGTGCTTGGGAGGAAGGATGGGCTTTTGGATAAGGTGCAGGACTGAGAATCAGGGAACCTGGGTCTCCATCAGAGACTCCCAGCGTGACCCTAAGGGAGTCACTTAATCTCTCTCCCTCACTTTCCCTGTCTGTAGAATAAGTCTCAACAAATCTGTTTGGACCTAATTCATTAATGTCGGTAAAGTACCTTGAGAACACTGGAAGCTGCTGTGGAAAAATGGAGTGTTTTTTAGTTTCAGAATCAGCATCTGACGGATCCTACATCCTGACTCTCCAAGCCAATTGGAATTTGCTCTGGACTCAGTACAATCAGCGTGGATAACTGTCTGGTTTAATCAAGTGTATGTTTGTTTCAGTAATTCTCTTCCTTCTGTCCTAACTCCAGGTTTCCCCTGCTCAGCCCACGCCCAGCACCGGTGGCCGGCGGAGACGCACGATGGATGAAGACCCGGATGAGCGCAGGCAACGTTTCCTGGAGCGGAACCGCGCTGCAGCCTCTCGTTGCCGTCAGAAACGCAAGCTGTGGGTATCTTCCCTGGAAAAGAAAGCAGAGGAGCTCACGACACAGAACATCCAGCTGAGTGTGAGTATGTAACCATGGAGTCAGAGTCCATCTGCTTGGCTGCATTGCGTCCTCCACTCCAAGGAGGACGTTTTTACCGTGGTGCCAGAGGCACTGTGTGCTCTGGTGGTGGTCTTTAGTTTGTGAGAAACCAGAATCCCTAGGGACAAGTGGCTAGAAATGTTGCAGGGTTTTTTTGTAAGATGTTTATATTTTCTGTGCTTGATTCGCAAAAGCTTGTGTATGTGCCTCTGGCAATGGAAACCAGTATTTATAAAGGATCATCAAGTCCTGGATAAGCCAAAGGTGAAAGAAAAGGAGCAAGTGGAATTTTGTATCAGCATTTCCAACCCCCTCCGCCGCACACAATAAATAAGAGCTGCGCACCCAGTCTTGCCCTGAAAAGGATGAAGCGGGTAAGGGAGAATTTAGCATTGTGCCCTGCCACTCATCCTCTCAAGACTGCACCCTGGAACATTCAGCTGCTCCAGCAACGTAAGATAGGTGCTGGAACAGTGCAAAGGCACCAGGAAGCTGGTGTATCCTAAATGAAGACTCCCCTAACTTGGGAAGAGCTGTCAACTGGCACAAAGTCAGTGTAACTGGTTTCTGCTCTATTTTCCACTGCTTGGGACTGGAACCACAGGCCAGCAAAGAGGGAACTGCAGCTGAAGCCCAGGGCAGTTCAGATTCTCCTTAAAAATTGGGGAGCTATAACTAGCTCCCTGGCAGCCTCTCTCCTGCTGTGCCAAGCAGAACGATGCGTAATTCCCTTCCCATTGCAATTAGTCCCTTCTCAGCAGACAGACCAAGGACAGAAAGGATTCTGAAGACTGAACTCACGTCCAGTGTGGGCTGTTTCCCCCACTGGCTTTCAGCGACTCATGCAGTGTGCTTCAATAGCACTAATTACGATATTTTCATCCTCTTTGTCACACTGTCTGGAGTGGCTCACAACTGTGAATGCCTGCCACAAAGCAAAAAGAAAAGGAGTACTTGTGGCACCTTAGAGACTCTCTAAGGTGCCACAAGTACTCCTTTTCTTTTTGCGAATACAGACTAACACGGCTGTTCCTCTGAAACCTGCCACAAAGCAGACTGTCAGAAACAGGGCAGATCCCCCAAGCTGGTGATATGTTCTATCATTAGATTTCACCAACCCAGTAACAAATGTGAACTCCTAGATCACTGTACCAGTCTTACCATGGAGTCACAGACCAACTTAGACTCTCCAGACTATTTGGCCACCCACCCAAACAGAACTTTGTGATAATGGTCACTTGAACCAAAAATCACACCACATCAGGTTGCTCCCAGTCCCAAGAGACCAGCCACTTACCCCAGATCAACTGGTACTCTGAATCTTACACCAAAGACAACCCTGGCACTGGCAACCAATAGTAAATTAACTAAAGGTTTATTAGCTAAGAAAAATGAGTTATTGAGAGATTAAAGCAGCTAAAATATCTGTCCAGGTGAATCACAGTTTGTAACTCCGAATGGTGGCAGCAACATAGTAAACTGCCAGTTTCCCAAAAGTCTTTCCAGGGTACCTAGATTGTCTCTGGGGATTTCTGCTTTATATCTGGTACACTTCCCTGTCAGAGTCCAAAGATGCAGGATCTTTTTTTCAATCCCTTCTTATAGCTTCTTCTCACAGAAAGCAAGCTGTCAGTCTCTCTACCCACCTTCTCAGACCTCCAGTGTATGGAGTCTCAGACCTCCAGTCATCAGACACAATGGGTATTTGCTTTGTAATTAGCACTTTTTCTGATAAAGTCCTTCATTAGCATTCCACAAGGCTTCTTTGATGTCTGATGAGTTATTTAGTTACAGCGGTATTTACAATGTAAATGTTTGATGTCGCATCATAACAGGATACAGATGAGAGAAAACAATGCACTTAACATCCCATTAGTTTTATGAAGTTTAAACACCCAAAGCACATATACATTTAACAATTGCTTTGATCTATACTAATACACAAGTGAATTGGCCTGAATACACTCTGACATGACCTGGTCTGCCAGCGTCATACTTGTCACAAGGTAATTGTAGAAATTGTTTTCCTAGCCAATTTCAAAGTGCAGTTGACTGGGTTTTCCAGATACAGGGGGGACAGATATTAAGCACATCTCAAATTTCAATTACAAACATGCTCTCTGAAATTCTCAGGGGGAAAATTTTCCACTAATAGCTGAGAGTTAACCTAAAGTTTTTGAAAGCATGAACATTTTTTGGTTTGGTGTTGAAAGGTATGGAATTGGCTTCAGAATGGATCGCTGTTTGCAACCTTATTTGTGGAGAGGTGACAGAAAGAAAGGATGGCCTATTGGTTACTGTGCAAACCTGGGACCTGGATTCAATTTCCTCCTCTGCTACAGACTTTCTGTTAAAAGAAAAGGAGTACTTGTGGCACCTTAGAGACTAACAAATTTGTGACCTTGGGCATGTCACTTAGGCTCTCTGTGTCTCAGTTCACCACCTATTAAATGGGAGCCATAGTAAGTACTTTAGATGGATAGATGTAGGTCTGAGCAGCCTCCACTCAAGTATATAACAGGCTGACACCTACAGACTCCTTCTCCATATTAAAGGTAAGAGTGGCTGTCATGTTCTGAACAACCTGAGGTGGGACTTGAGGTCCTATTTTGTTGCGGGTGTGGCCCTTGATATATCAAAGAACAGATGTCCCTGATACGGTTTTACTCTGTATAGCTGTTCATGGTCAGTCCTCATTAATGGTCCTCTTAGAAAGACTTTTTGGCCTTCAGAGAGATGCCACTTGAATTTTTAGCTTTCCATCAAGTTCAACAAAATATTGCATTGACTCTTATTGTTAGCATTTCTTCCACTGGTGGTGGTGGCAAGCGCATACAGACTAATTTTACATCTGGAACGTGGGATTTCCTGGTAAGGTACGGGTCTGTAAGAGGACAACCTTGCAAAGCTTGTTTTGAATACACACTCACTCACAAACACAACTTTTTATTAAGGGTTAATTTGTGATGACCAGAGTCTGTAGACCTCAAATGACGCAAGAGTTTGGAGTTAAACTTTGAAGAATCTACATGTTAGTATTCTGCCACAGCTAAGGGATATTATTCTGAACACTCATGATCCCTGTAAATGTTGTTTTCTTTACCTCAGAATGAAGTTACACTACTGAGGAATGAAGTTGCTCAACTTAAACAGCTACTGTTGGCTCACAAGGACTGCCCAGTCACTGCACTACAGAAAAAAACACAGGGGTATCTTGGTGAGTTGTGACTTGCCCTTGCCGGCACTGTACCTTAGGGTACATCTGAGTAGAATTAAACCCGAATACAAGACTTACGTGAACTTAGTGTTCCTGAAGGATGCTAGATTGACAGCCCGGTGGGCTGGTGTCCTCTCTCCACAGGACCAGGTAAAGCACAAGCAGTGGCAGCGCAGGCTTCTCGCATGCTGTACCTGGCCAATGTGCCTTATCCCTGCACTGGAGCAAGCCACCTCAAGGTGGTGACAGGGGAGTTCTGCCCTGGGTTTCTCTGATGCTCCCAACAAGAGCTCCAATTAGTGTCAGTTGTTGTGGCGGTTCTTGTGATGTGGTCCCCTGTCCATTAGAAACTGAACTTGGAACAGACAACTCACTTTGTGTAGGAACAATAACAGTGGTAACATTCTGTCACTACCAATTTTGCTCCAAGACCTTGTATAGCAGGCGATCAGATATCATGGTGATGACTACAGTGTAAAAGCTTTGATAATATAACGTATTTGTCCTTTTGTCAGTATGTTTCCCTGAAGCATGAAATATTCTACATGCATCCATCACTCAAACTCCCATTTCTCCCACAAATCTGGTCCAGAGTTGCCCCGAACACTAGGTGTCCTTCTCCACTGTATTATACTGCTCAGTGTTGGAAACTAATGCTGCTATTTAAGTGCAGTTGCAGTCGAAAAGTCCAGACTCTATAAATGATATCATGGGGTTCCATATTCATGTTCTCTGCAATTCACATCAAACTGGTTCAGTTTACAAGTGAGAAGACATCTTTATTTTAAACTGCTTGCCAGTAGAGAGACATGATGGGTGAGGTAGCATCTTGTCTTGGACCAGCTTCTGTTGATGTGAAAGACAAGCTTTCAAGCTTACTCAGAGCTCTTCTTCACATCTGAAAAACATACTCGGTGTCACAGCTAAATACAAGGTGGAACAGATAGTTTAGCATAAGGAGTTAATACACGTTTCAAGGGGACCATTCAAGGCGAAGTGGCCCATTACCACCTCTCCAGTCATAGGGAGTCTTAATTCTCGCTATGACTGGAAGGGTGTTAGTGGACCACTTCACCTTGAATGGACCATCTGTTCCATCTTGAGGGCTTGTCTACACTACAAAATTAAATTGACCAAAATTACGTTGACGTACAGCCACTGCAGTAATTAAATCGCTTTTGCATGGCCACACTATGCTCCTTGTGTTGGGGTGTGTGTGTCCTCACTAGCAGCGCTTGCATCGATGCTGAGAGCAGTGTACCATGGGTCGCTATCCCACTGTGCAACTCACCACCATGTGGTGCAGGGTGTTTTGGAAAGGATTTGCAAAGCCTCATGGGGCAATCGACTTGCACAGGGATGACTGGTAACATGGTTTCACCATCCCATGATATCTGCATCCTGTGATACTGGTAACATGATATTCTCCGTCCCATGATATCTGCATCCCCCAATGTTTCACGCCTCTTTTCAAAAGCCTCACAAACCTGCACATCTGCCATCTCTGTGAGAGGCATGGATCCTTCACTGCTCTTCGGTATTGTGCTGACCATTATAAACACAATGCGCCTGGTCCTTCAGTATTTTCAGAGCCACCAAAGGAGGTGCGAGGGATATGACAGTCCCTTGCAGGCTGCCTTGCTGATGGACAAAGAAAGAAACAATTCAAGCAGTTGCCAGATGGTGAAGCGCTGGTTCTGGGCCCAAGAAACAAGCACTGATTTGGGATGACAAGCAGTGACTGCAAAGCTTTCAGATGCTCAAGGCCACATTCATGGAATTGTGTCCCCAGCCCTCCAGCACAGCACCACTAAAATAAGAGCCACGCTCTTGGAGAAGAAGAAAGTGGCGATCGCTGTATGGAAGCTGGCCACACCAGATTGCTACCGATCAGTCGGGAATCATTTGGAGTTGGGAAATTTTAGCTGTCTCACTCCTGAGCGTAACGGAGGCTGTCAGGGAAGAGGTCCTGCATGCGTCTGCTGCTAGCCTGTGTGCTGCAATGGTGCCTGCTGAAGTATTTGCTTACTGGTGTGGGAAAGCGTCCTGCCGGGGTAGAAGAAATAAGGCAGCCCTCCCCAGAAGCCTTCGGCTGAGGATTGCAGACTCCCTCCAGGAAAGTTTCCTCGAGTTCTCTGTGGAGGATTCACAGGACATCCCAGTGCATGTAAACAAACTGTTCCACAGGGCCCCTCTGCCTAGCTGTACAGGGGAATGAGAAGCAGATAGGAACTCTGCCTCTATTGGTTGGTTCACTACCTCTTCTAGCCTGACTGAAAAATAGTAAATGAATAGATGTGTCTCCACAATATCAAAGCAAACGGCATACTTACCAGAGGTTCTTTCCCTGCATCAGGCTCTCCAGGGCTGGACAGTAGAGACCTGCTCGACTGCTCTGGGGTCAGAAAGAGGTCCTGGCTTGCCGCGCCACTGGATCCCCAGTCGTCTGTCCCCCATGTTCCTCCTCCTTGTCCAAAACCTCACTGTGCACTGCAGGGGCCTTTGATTCCAGTTTCCCCAAAGTATCCACTGGGCTCTTGGCAGTGGTGGTGGGGTCTCCCCCAAGGATGGCACGCAGCTCCTTGTAGAAGTGGTGTGTCTGCAGCTCAACTCCAGAGCGACTGTTAGCCTCCCTTGCCTTCTGGTACGCCTGCTGCAGCTCCTTGATTTTCACGCAGCGTTGCTGCATGTCTCTGTTGTAGCCCTTCTCCCCCATGCCCTGAGTGACCTGCTCGTAGATATCAGTGTTTCTATGGCTGGATTGGCACTGTGTTTCCACAGACTCAGGAGTTCCATCACTTCCTCTGTACTCCAGGCAGGAGTGCATTTACTGCATGGAGCTGGCATGGTCAGCTGGCAGTTACTAGGTGAGCTCTCCATGCTGAGGAAATGGAATTTAAAATTTGTGAGGTTTTAAAAGAGGAGGAGCGTGTACCTACGTACCTGGCCGTCTCACAGTGGAGTTCAAAATAGTGACCAAAGCGGTCACAATGGGGCATTGTGGGACACCTCCTGGATGCCACTAAAGTTGAGGTAAGTAACGCAGCGTCTAAGCTTTCACTGCATCAACCTAAGTACTACGCCTCTCACAGAGATGCAGTTATTAGGTCAACGTAGTGGACAAGTTACGTCGTCGGGAGCAACATTTTAGTGTAGACGCTTACAGGTTGATGTAAGCTTCCCTCAGCCAGCATGAAAAGCAGCTCCATCCCACCCCTTCCGCTTTCCAAGGGCCTGGCTGCCAGGGAGAGGGGCCGAGCAAGCTGACGGGGAAGCACAGGAGGAGAAGAACAACGCACCCTCCTCCAGGTAACTCTGGTGAGGATAGTGCAGCGTCCCCAGGCCGGGTGCAGGTGGGGGGCGATGAGAAAGGCACTAGGAGTAGGCTCCCTCTGCTCAACCTGAGTTAGGATAATTTCCCGCATCCCATGTCTCCCCTGCTGATGTGTCCATGAGGGCGTGGGAGCTCTGGGGAGACCCTGTGGTGCTGTTACTCTCCCTAGGCCAGGGCCTGCCTAGCCCAGAGGCATGTGCTCCCCGCTTCTGTGGCCCCAACCCCTCAGGAGCCAGCAGATTGGCTGCTGTGGCCCACGGAGATGGGGCTGGAAGATTTCTCCCAGAGGCAACACGTGGGGCGGCTGTCCCACCTTCCCAGTGTGCCCCCCCCCCAGCATCAGCTAGTCCCAGTTGTCTCTGGGAGTAGACCAGGCCTGAGTAAGTTTTCCAGACCTGAAGAAGAGCTCTGCGTAAGCTTGAAAGCTGCTCTCTCTCACCAACAGAAGTTGGTCCAATAAAAAATATTACTTTACCCATCTTGTCTCTCTAATATTCTGGGACCGACATGGCTACAACAACACGGCTTGCTTCACAGTAATCAGCCTGGGATCTAAAAAGCTAACTGGATTTTCTGCCTATTACATTTTCCCCACTAACAAAGATTTTGTACTCTTGGAATTTGTCTGAAGGCTTATTGATGATGCTGAAGACAGAAGGGCTCTGGCTGGCTATCCCCTAGCTACATCTGCTTGTGTCAGCCTTATGAGAGTTGGAAACTTGTTTGGGTCAATAAAGTAAGATGGAGGGTGCACAGAGAAAATAGGAGAAGTAAGAAGGTGCCATGCCTCCATAGTCTCACTTCTGACTCCCACCCCATTCTGAATCTCCAAAGCATTCCCCTCTGATGAAATGGAACACATATATTTGCCTTGCAGGTCCCTGGCATCGCCAGTTTATTTTCAGTCATTACAGTGACTCACAGCTTGAGTAATGTGGTCGTGAAATTCATCCCTATCCCCCAGCCTTTGCAGACAGGTGTTCTTTGTGTATAATGCAACATGATTTTTCCTGTTAACTTCCAGAGTTTACAGTTCCTATTTTTATTCCTCAGTCTGTCTACTCCAATAATAGGAATTCATCACACATCTGAATAATAAAAATGAAATTCACACCTCTCCCTTCCCTATCGCACTTCTCCCTGGCTGCCTTTTTTATTATAAAGATTTATGACTAAGCATGTCCTTAAACAAAAATGCCAGATTCCCTTGATGGAATTACAGCTGCCTTATGTACAGTTGGGTTGTTTTATTTGTAATACCTTGTAAATCTCCTTTTTGGGATGCCAAACTCTTCTGTTTCTCTGCTCGACCCTCCCTCCTCACCCCCAAATCAAACTTTTGAAATCTACTGTGCTAGCTGTATCTTTCGATATGTTAGCTGTGTCCTAGCCAGCACCTCACTTACGAAGGTGAGGTGAAACCAGTTTGGGGAAGGGATACAGAGCAATGTGAAAGGACTTAGTGGCAATCTGAATCTTAAAACACACCCAGCTGTGCACAATGAGGCTGTAATTTCTTCTCTGGTTTCTGGTGACATGGGATTTACACTTTTGGTATGTAAGAGGAATCCCGTGTATCCAACCAGAGGTCAATACTGGCTGCTTCAGAGGATGATAACCATATCCTCTCCATAATTCATCTAACCAGCTGTGCAGGAGGGAATTTCCTCTTGATTTAGGCAGATAATGAATGAGCTTATACCTTCCCAAAGCATGAAGTTTGATCACCCTCACTGTAGCATGAGATCAGTCACAAATCATCCTTTTTGTCTAGCACCCCTGCCCAAACACAGTGGGAGAGAATCCAAAGTTTGGAAAACCAATCTGTGTTGGTCATTATATGACTGCAGAAGAAGCTTGCTGGCTTTGTTTGTCTTGTCCTTGCTTCATTGTCCACAGCTTCAAGTTACAGAAAAGTTTAGTGAGCAAGTGGTTTGTCATGAGGTCTAACTGATTTTAATGTTCTAGAGAACAATAAAGAGTAAACCAGATAATTTATATAAAATTCAGAAACACTGCTGTAACGGGATGCTATCAGCTTGTGGAAGGGTTTCTGTTACATACCTCTCTGTGTGTTCACCCAACAGATGGTAAGGACTCCGAAGGAACTGTTCAGTCTCTGGGCTAAATGGCCTCGAACCAAGTACTATACCAGGAAACAACATGTAGGAAAGTACATTTATTATAATGAGGACATAGCTGTATTATAGAAAAGTTAAGCTAGATCTATGGTCCGTGCTTTGATGTTAGCACCTTTTTGCTAAAGATCTCTTTCTAACTCGAGGTTCTTTAAAATTCCCCCCACTTTTTGTATTTAAATGGGGTGGTCTAGCCAGATCCTAGTTTCGTTCATTGTTTTCTGACTCCTTAGATTGTCCCTGCTCTTTTCACGTGGCTCTTATTCTTTTTTACTTCCTGTCCTAGGTAGTTGTTATAGAATTGGCGCATGCTGTTAACAGCTGCTGCACCCCCTCTTAGAGGTGGATGCATATCAGTGTTGGGTTAAATGGTTCCTGCATATGGATCCGTGCATCCATTCTCAAAAGTGCTTTGGGATCAGGCAGGTTGAAAGGCCTCCATGTAAAAGTAAAGCATAGTATCTGATTAACTCTCTCATCATCCAGGGATGCTTGGTAGAGTTAGTCTCGCTTTCCACAGCCCAGTCTTAATGTCAGTAACATCATGATGGGTTCCGTTCCAATTATTATTTTTTCTTTTTTTCTTTTTGAAAACAGAAAGCCCAAAGGAGAGCTCTGAGCCCACCGGTTCCCCTGCTCCTGTCATCCAGCACAGCTCCGTGACAGCATCCCCCAACGAGCTCAACGTGCGCTCTGCAGCTGAAGCTGTTGCCACTTCGGTCCTCACTCAGATGGCAAGCCAAAGGACAGAACTGAGCATGCCCGTACAGTGGCACGTCATTATGGCTCCACAGTCTCAGTCTGCTGGCAGATGATGTCACAAACCACGTGACAGAGAACTAACCCATAAGAACTTGCAGACCGAGAGACTGATCATAACTAAGTCCCTGCTTAATGGGGGCAGATACAGATTTTTTTTTTTTAAAGTGAGTTAAGGGCAGCTATGGAAGCTTCTTTATACTGCATATCCTATACAGAGCCTGGCCCAAAACCTTTGTGACGTGATCACCTGTCCGTACAGGATGGCTTCCGATTGAGGGATTTCTTGATCCCTTAGTGATGGTCAGTCAACTTACAGAATCATCAGATCACAAAGAGCCTCATTTTGAATGCATCTTGAAAGGTTCATTTTCAGGTATCAGTTACGTTAACACTAAACCTCCCCTGGCTTGTGGTTTCTCTTGGCATTATCGCTATTTTAAGTTTCACCTGTTAGCAAAGGAAAGTAGCTGTTGGGAGGCTGTGACATTTACTGGTGCTGTCACTTTATTTTTAACAGCATGCTGCTTCCAATCATCTGTTTCCCCACCACTGCTCTAGCTGACCTGCAACGTTGCACCTTGGCATAAGAATATTGTCTGAGTTTTCCACTTGGGCTATTGAGGTTAAAAAGGCTTAGGATAATGGGCTTCCTAACTCCATGGGTTTAACTTCCCTGATACCAAAGCTTTTTGGTTCCAAAGCAAGCCTGGCACCTCTGATTCACCTGCAATTAACCATCATTAACTGCTGTAACTTGTGGGGTTTTTAAGTATGTGTTCGCAGTCACTGGTGCAGCCGTAGGAACTGTGGACGTTTCATGTGCTTCTCTCTTAATTGACACCATAGCTGCTAATGATGCAGGTACCTTCTTCAGAAAAGGGCCTGCTTATAAATCTTCTGTACAACAGTAAAGCAGAACCAAGCTGCTGTCTGCCAGGACTGCGTGCAAAGCTGTTCTGTGTGATGCGTGAAAGGATGAGCTGGGGCAGATTGGATATAATGCAAGTCCTAGAATTAACCGGCTATGAAATCCACTACCCATCTCAATAAGTCATGAATTTAAACAAACGAACCCCACACATGTCAAAGGATTGTTTCCCATACATTTAACCTGATGATCTTATAAAGTGGTGGCCTTGAACAAAGGGAGGTGGAAGCATATCCCACTCGCCTGGCCTTTTACCTCCTTTAATGGTTTTCTTCTGCTCCTAGTAGTGGTATATGTATTGCTTTTCCTCAAGAGTAAATGTAGTACTTTTAGAGCTTCCAGGTTCATGGGGTAGACTTAAAACCAGCCTTGACATTTTAAAGGCACTTGGAATTGTCTGCTTATTGCCAAAGTGAGTGTGCGTGTGTGTGTGTGCGCGTGCGTGTACTTTCTTTAGGTTGTCATTGACCTTTTGCTTGCTGGGTAATAGTTGTGGTTTTGAATTTGTATTTTGGGAGCCGGAAAGGTATGCTGTGTGAATTTGTGCTACAGCAAACCCACCAGTCTGTGAAACTCTCAGCACTTCATCTTTCTTTCCTTCTTTAAAGACACTTTTCCTTCCGTTGAGCTCTTTGACATCTTCACCCTGAGCTGCCAGACCACCTCAAATTGCACTTGCCACTTTTGACCCAAGTTAGTTTGGCTGAGTCAGTAGTTTGGTTTATCTAGACTTGGAATATTTGCCAGGGACAGCAATACCCAAAGCAAAATCTGAGCATGTAGAATTTGACCCCCCCAGATACAGGGAAGTTCCATTTATTGCTTTTCTAATTAGGGGGTCTCTTCTCCCCCTTTTCTCCCTCATGTTTCTTCAGGCCTCCCTGCCATATTCTCTAATGTATTTCATGGTCCTAGTTGTCTCTTAATACACTGCCACTGTATGTTTGTCTCACACTGTCTCACACATGCTCACACACAATTATTCCTGAGATTTTGTGTCCCTTTGCCCTCTGTTTCTTTGCCCTCTTAATATTCAAAGACACTGGAGCTAGTAGCTCTTGCATCTCTGTTCAGAACCTGTGTGTAGTTACTGCAAGAGGCATTCCAGATAAGGCACTTCATTTTTTTTTTTTTGTTTGTTTTTTCTTAAAGCTGTTTCTATAGAGAATTTGCATATAGGAAAGTGCTTTGAGTATAACTATCCCAACAGGGTGTCTGTTTCCTTGATGACAAAGAGCTATACCATCAGCAGGGTTTTCAGGATCGTGTGAGGATAATGCAACAGCCGCGGAAATGGTTTATAAAGTCTAATGGCCTGATTGGACAAGACACAGGGCCTTTATTTGGCTAAGAATCCAAGACAGAAAGGGATCGTGGCCATTTTGTCAGAGGTCTAATACGACAGCAGGGAATCTGTTTGTAAGTATAACTAGTTTAGTCTCTTGCAGACACCGCACTGTCTTGTAAAGGAATAGCTTGCATAGCTCTGACGGATTCATTAGAGTAGCTGGATTCATATGTGTGGCTCAAGAGGCCCAAACAGCTTCTACATGATAACTGATCATACTCCACTTCCAGCCTGCAGGCTAACATTAGTGTCTGAAAGCTAGTGGATGTTTAGCAAGAGGTAGGGGAAGCCCATTTTAACACCAGCACCAGTGCATGTTGAGACAGCACCGCTGGGTAAATACTGCCTATTGATAGCCTTAACACATGCATAAAGCAGCCTTCAAATACCTTCCATTGTTAAGAGACTGGCAGCTCAAGGATACAGCAGCACAATAGACTGTACAGAAGGGGATGGGGTGGTAAATACAGTGCAAGTTGGACAAGTGTGAAAAGGCTTTAACCGAAAGTAAATTTGCTTTGGTGCTCGCAAACCTTATTAATTTCCATGGATACTTGTACAAGGGACCATTTTTTTGGTCCGAGGAAAGCAACACGCATGTGCACGTATGTGTTTGCACAGCTATCTTGGACTCATTTATTTCCTTCTTCCTGCTCCTTGAACTCTTAGTCAGGATTGAAACAATACCATGTGACTTAGGTGACCAATCACATTTCAGATAGGGAATAATCAAAGGCATAGTAGAATAGAATAGCTTCCCAGCACCGCATAAACTGGAGTTAGGGTGACCAGATGTCCTGATTTTTATAGGGACAGTCCTGATTTTGGGGTCTTTTTCTTATATAGGCTCCTATTACCCCCCATCCCCTGTCCTGATTTTTCACACTTGCTGTCTGGTCACCGTAACTGGAGTGGATTTGTGTAATGAGTTTGAAAGCTTCAGATTGCAAACGGACTTGTAAAAATCAGTCCATTGAGCAAAAATGGACAATGTTTTTTTTTAAACAGATTCTGTTCTAAATAGCTCACTCTGCTACAGTCACAACTAAGGGTCTGTCTGACCAGTAGAAGTTGCACATGGGCTAGCTGAATCCAACTACTCAAGACAGCACTGTGCAGGGTTCAGTGCTGGCTAGCAAGCCAGTTATGTACCCAGGGTCCATACTGGGCTTGCGCTCCCCTGAGCTGCAGCTTGTACCGTGCTGTGTTCACCGCTGCAGTTACCTGTGCTAGCTGGCTTAAAGCTAGCTCAGGTAGACTAGCCCATGCACGGCTTTTGCTGTGTAGACAGACCCTAAATCACTGATCCTTTTCTTCCCAGCACCTGTCTTTGTAATGGGAGGGGCTTACGAGGTTCAGAAAGCAGGGAGACACTTGAAGTGGAAAAACTCACCAAGTGTCAGTGTAATGGACTCTGGTCCCTGCTCACTACTGGCCTCTTGTGGTCAGTGGTGGTGGTGTAAGATCCTCCATCTTAATCCCTCCTTCCTAGGGCTTCCTGTACATTCAAACAGGCTTTGTATGGCAAAACAGCCCTTTTTTCAATAGAAAATCCCCCAAATAAGGAAAAACCCGTCAGGCCCCTGGTCCCATTCTTGCTCCTTCTTAAAACGGCCAGTCATCCAGACACAGAACAACCCAATCAAGGGTGTTTCTCACACTCCTCGGTCTCTGACAGTCTGAACTGTGGGGTTGTTTTTCCCTGGGGTCTGGAGGCAGACCAAGGGATTTGGCCACATTCAAGGAGCTATGGTAATGGGTGATTTTGCTGTACATCCTGACTCAAGGGGTTTGAATGAGCGGGAGAAAGCAGAAGGATTATAGGTACTATAGTCTTTAGTCACTACAGCTGTAAGTACAGCAACCATCGTATTCGTTACCAAAATGATGTGGAACTGATTGAGAGGTGTGTGAACTTGCTCCCTGGGACAGTACAGCATTATTGTAAAATCTGTCTGCCTTTTGCTCTCCTTACTTAACCACTGGAGATCAAAAACTACACAAGTCTGTGATCTGGGAGTTGCTACCAGGTCCTGCCAGAAAACTACGGCTGGTCAGACAGAGCAATGACTGTTGGGGGCTGAGACCTCATGCCCTGCTGGGGGCTAGAAACATACAGTGCATCCATAGCATATTTCCTGCCCTGACAAATCACCAGAAAACAGACCTTAAAATCTTGTCCTTCTGATTACCATCTTGTGGCCCACCCACTTCAGTTCTGACCTGGTTTGTGTGTATGCTCTCCTGAACTTAGAGCTATAAAGTAATGTTTTCTACTATCTGGAAGCAGCAGGCAATTCCATCTTTCAGATGGCGTGTAAAGCATTAATCTTTATGGGGGTTCATGAGCAGCTACTAAACATCCAGCCAGAATTGAAGTTTAGAGGAGGGGAAAGCAAGATGATAATTTGTATGTCATGATTTTAAATGTACGCTGTCAAGTTAAATCACACTTCAGTCTGACAGTTTTTACCTCCTCTTGTTATAGGTGATGCCTAAGATTGCTAGCACTTGGAGATAAATAATTATTCTTAAACTTTTTTTCCCCTGTTTATTTACTCTGCATATTGAGCAATATCTTAGTCAGGTTTCAATATTTCTTCTCTGTCACTTAGTCAGTTCCCGTGTACGTTTGAGTCGTCAGTGTGTTAAAGGGAGAAATGTCTTGGAAAAATAGGAAAATGTGCCTGTAAAACTGCAAAAGTTGGCAGGAGTGCTCAGGAGACATGTAGACTAGAAACTGCTTTTAATGGTAATTAACTAGATTTCAAGCTGTTTCCCCTTGAAGTGTGTTTCACTGAACATACTAAAACCATGTTCAGTGTTTAAAATATTTTTATGTATTTAAAAAGAAAACTCAGTAGTTTCACAGAAGAGGTGGAAGTGAGTTTAATCTCCAGCTGGTTTTCTGTCTCCCAGCAAAGTCTGAGCATGTCTGAGTCCCAGGCTGCTGAAGACAAACTGTTTCTCTTTCTGTGTTTAAAATAGACAACTCCCTTCATGGGGCCTAGGGAGGTCCTTGGTAATGAGCTTAGCACTCAGATGTCCTCTCTGACTTCCTGGGAGAAGGAACTGCAGCAAGGAGACAAAATTCTAAATGTGTCACCTTTTGAGATGTTCTGCAGAACCAACTCAGGATAGCAAACGTATTGCAAATAACTTCAGTGCTTTGGTGATACCTGTATTTCTAGGTCCAGTATCTTATAACCTGCTACTTCTGGAAATATGGGCAGGAGCAGAACAAATGCTGTCAGGACCAGAAACTCCACCCCCCGTCTCCCTCAGCATGGTTCCTGGATCAGTGATCAGAATAAAACATACTCTGTTCCTACTCAGTGTCCATTTCAACTAAGGTTTGCCACTGAATGAAAGTATCACAGAGCAGCTCCAGATTTGGTGGCTCCCCACAACTACGTAGCTAGCTTAATAGCATACAAGACAGCTTAGCTTTCACTGACAAGCTGATCTTTGCCTGGCCTTATTAAAAAGGACAAATCTAGAAGTAAACAGGAGTTTCAGACGTGTAAATGTTGGAGGTCCCTTTCATTATGGGGGACACACCTGCCTGGTGCTACCTTGTGAAAAGCAATCATGACGGTGCAAAATGTTTTAAACAGGTTAAAGATTTTTTTGAAAGTATTTCATTTTATGTCCCCAATCCTGATTTCAATATCAGCCCTTCTCTTCCTTCCCAAGTCCCTTGCTGGTAGCTAGCTTGAAATGTAAATAGGCTGCGAGCTGCTTCCCATCCATTTTGAAGCAGATACATCTATATAGAATGTTCTCATCCTGAATCTATCTATGAATCTATTCCACTTCACCTAGAAGGCCTGATCCTTGGAGATGCCAAGAGCACTCCTCTCCCATCGAAACCAGGAAGAGCTAAGGTTGCTAAATATCTTGTAGGAAGCATCACTGGATTGAGGCCCATAAGGGAGAGATGCTACCAAAGAGCCCTGCTAGCTCCAGTAACCTGTGGCAAAATCCTTTGCTGTTTTCTTACCAAGATGAAGTGCTGCAGTGCATTGCATGCAGATAGCACTTCCTGATCCGCTCTTACCGCATAGGAAGGATGTCCATCTGTGAGTTGTCTGTCAAGCAAAGGATTAATTGTGCTCTTAACTAGATTAGTCACCTGTATGGGAGTTATCAGGGCAGTAACCTAGGGAGAGGATGGGCTCTGGAGCGTTGCAACAGATGCCCAAAAGAAAAAAAAAAACAGATGACATTATGGGATTTCAGATTTGTTGGTTTCAATGGACAACTACTTCGGTGCTAAGATTTTAATTTTAGGGGCTCAGTTTTTCCACTAGGGTCTCATTTATTCGCAACTGCATGGATTTGCTCATGCAAATAGACTGGCTGTGCTTGAGCAAATAAATACTGCCGACATCATTAGAGGAGGCCTGCTGAAAAGATGTGGCCCATGTGAAGTTCTGTCCTTTAGCCAAGCAGCGTTTACAGCCCCTGAGGAGCCTTTATATCATGAGGAGTATAAGTCACTGACTGTTGAGTGTGTGTTTAGAACAATTATGCAACCAGTTGCTAGGTTATTCCTTTAAATCACCAGCTTCTCCATAATTGCATCTTTTCCTAGAGATGATTTCCTATTAATCTGTGTGTAAAATTACTGATCAGTGTCAAGGAAATCCCACCTTCTTGTTTCAGAGTAGCAGCCATGTTAGTCTGTATCTGCAAAAAAAACCAGGAGTACTTGTGGCACCTTAGAGACTAACAAATTTATCAGAGCATAAGCTTTCGTGGGCTACAGCTCGCTTCATCGGATGCATTGAATGGAACATATAGTAAGAAGATTATATATAATACACACATACAGAGAAGGTGGAATTTTCCATACAAACTGTAAGAGGCTAATTAATTAAGATGAGCTATTATCAGCAGGAGAAAAAAACTTTTGTAGTGATAATCAAGATGGCCCATTTAGACAGTTGACAAGAAAGTGCGAGGATACTTAACATGTGGAAATAGATTCAATATGTGTAATGACCCAGCCACTCCCAGTCTCTATTCAAACCCAAGTTAATGGTATCTAGTTTGCATATTAATTCAAGCTCAGCAGTTTCTTGTTGGAGTCTGTTTTTGAAGCTTTTCTGTTGCAGAATTGTTACCCTTAAGTCTTTTACTGAGTAGCCAGAGAGGTTGAAGTGTTCTCTTACCAGTTTTTGAATGTTATGATTCCTGATGTGAGATTTGTGTCCATTTATTCTTTTGCGTAGAGACTGTCCAGTTTGGCCAATATACATGGCAGAGGGGCATTGCTGGCACATGGTGGCTTATGGCTTTCTGTGATCATCCTTGCCGCTAATGAGGGTTGTACATGTTGGGAATTTCCTTCCGGATCTATAGATGGGGATGCCCTTTTTTATCCCATTTTCCTGTGCTGGTTCAGCTACCCACATCAGTGCTGCGCAATCTCATGGACTTGTTCGGTGACCGCTGCTTTTTCAACCTAAAGTTGAAACTTTTTTTAGAAAGCAAAACCTTAGATTCCTGAATAAATGGAAATATCCACAGACGGCTCAAACTCCACGTAGTCCGCAGACTTGCTGCACATAGGAGTTATTTTGTCCTCCTAGTCCCAGGGCTTTTCAGGCAGCCTTCCCAATATCATCTTAGGGCTTGGAGTTAGCTAAAGCAAGTTTCACTGGCCATCCCTGTGGCTTTAGAAGAGCGTCAGCAGTTAGTTGTCTTAGGCCAAAGGGGGCCCTGACTAATTTCAATTTTTAATTAATTGACTGCCCACACCTACTCTTCATGAAAATTTCTCCTCCTGGGAACGACACAGAATGTTTTGGATTGCATGTGATCTTTGGCCCTTATGTGTGGCCTACTTCACAGTGGGAAAATGATCCTCTTCTGGCTTATTTCACGAGGCCAGGAAAAATATTGCAGTGTTTAAAAGGTACGTGTAAGTTCGTACTGAACAAGGGCTAAGCACTAGCTGTAGGATCATACTCTTTCAGAGCAGTATTTTTTTAATCAGTTAGTGTTTACCTTCGTTATAATAAAAACAAATAATTAAATAATAAATTAGAGGCAATTAGGATAGACTTGCATTTCTTTCCCTACAACATCAGAATATCGAACCCCATGACATTCTCAGCAAGAATCTAGCCTGGCCCTCAGGGGCTCATAGCAGAGAGAAACTAATTTTCTCCTTTTGTTCTCCCAAGCCCATCCAATTAAGACTAAAAAGATCAGATTCCTCTGTATATTCTTAAATTCTACTGTTGCTTTTTGATACAATTAGGTGTGGGGTAGGACCTCAACCAAAGAATTAGTGTTGCCTCTTCCTTGTCACTGTGGCTTGAGAACATCCTGATTGTTACAAAAATTTAAAAAATTAAAAATCAAAAGTGAACAACAAAACAGGACTCCTGATAAGGAGCTCTTTGATGAGAGAGCAGCTGTCACTAATTCCTTGCCCTCATTGTAGCTTTTCTCTCATCTTTGTCATGGCGTGCTATATTTTTACACTACACATACCAGGGGTCGTAGTCTTGTACTCAAAAGCTCTTGTTACTATTAGGGTTGAGTATTAATGGTCATGAAATGACTAGCACTTTTAAGAGATCATCTGACAGAATTGTGGTGCCTTTGCTTTAAGATTTCTTTTGGTTGCCGGCCAAAACAGATGCAAGTTTGTTGGGAGGAGGGGTGGGTTGGAGGACCAGGCAGGGCTGGGTTATGAAACTTAGTAAGTCCCATGCTCTGTGGGTCTGCAGCCAAGTACAAAAAAAATCCCCACTTTTCAGCTCAGTTCCTTTTGCTCCTGTATTAGCAAATTCAGGGCAATAACTGGGAGGTCTCAAGTTATCAACAGTAAGCTAGTGAAAGAGCTAATTTCCTAGTACTTTTGATTTAAATATATCATCCAGATTGTGCTACAGTTCCCTGGGAGCAGGAGCACTTTGCTGGTCTCATTCCAAGAGGCAATTTAGTGTAGATCCTCGGACTAGAGAACTGCATGGCGAGAGAGCTGTGGGTTTTGTGGGTTAATCTCTGTGATTGTGGAACTCCGTCCGCATGGAGGAGCCTATTTTGTAACTGATTTTTCTCAAAGATTCGCCGTCTCCTTGGGAGAGGAGGGGAGAATGGAGTTCGCTTTTGTGTTATAAAACCAGGTGGGCCTCTTACCCAGTTTAATAGACGGGGTAGATAAAGTACACAGGAGTCCTGTGACTTGGTTAGAGGACACAGTGAGCCCAGGATGCTCCTGAATCCTCTAGTCCCATGCTGTAACCACTAGTCAGTGTGACTTTCCACTTTGCTGGGGGTACTGTTAACCACCCCGTTAAGCAGGTGCTTGATTCCTGCTCTGAGCTAATTACTGTCATCCACCCCCAATCCAGAGTTCTTAAATCACCCTGCCACCCCCACTCCATGACCTGAACGACGACATACTTTTTTTCTTTTAAGCTTTTCTCCAGCAGGAGACCTAGGATTAACGTTTCTGCTCTAAACATACGTTTTCTACTTACGAGAAGCGGCACCAGGAGACCTCAGGATAGGAGAGTCCTGAGGCAGCATGGGTAGTTATGTGAAGCGTTTCCTTTTTCCACCCATAATCCATTGTTTACCCAAATGAAATGTAAGGAACTCTCTAAGCCAACCCACCCCACCCCACATGTGTGTTTCTTACACATTAGACACAAGGCTCAGACTCCTTCTGACAGTCTGGCCTAGCTTCAGATAAGAAACATTAACGAGAGCCACCTGGAACTTCAACATCAAACGTTCTGGGCTCTGTTCTGAATCTAGAATTCTGTGGCTTTAGAGCAGGTTCTGCATTTGTCAGAACAAGTTCTCCTTTGCTCCACTCAAACCATTGTCCACTCATACAGCCCGTGAATCTATATCCCCTCAATTCCCAGGCATCTGGATAAAAGGATAGCCTGAGAGGTGGGGGTGGGGGTGGGGGTGTTCCTTTTACAGCCCATATTGACAAAGCAGGAGTGAGGTAATATTTTTTTTATTGGACCAACATCTGTTGGTGAGAAAGACAAGCTTTCAGGTGACACAGAACTCTTCTTCAGGTCTGGGGTATCTCTCACCAACAGAAGTTGGTCCAATAAAAGACATTACCTCACCCACCTTGTCTCTCTAATGTCCTAGGACCGACCCAGCTACAACTACACTGTGTACAAAGGTTTGATTAAGCAGGCCTGGCATTGGACTTACCTGAGAGATTTGCTTACTGGGCTGCAGGCTGGACAACAATCCCCTTGAAACTTAATCCTATAGCATTACCTAGTGCACCTTGGTTGCAGCCGCAGTTATGTGCGACACAAATGAAGAGGTCCTTGATTTTGCATTGTGTCTGATTGGTTAATTTCTAGCCCCAGCTGTAGAGGTATACGGTGCTTCTGTTTCAGAGACAGACTGAATACACAATTCAGCGGTGTCAGTCTGAAGTTTCATTGAGGTTTGGAGCTCTGGTGGCTCTAAATCCACATTTCCAGTTGGGACCTTGATGCCCTGGTGGTAGCTGCCAGACTGTTTCTGGCTGCTGCTTTGGTGCCCTCTACTGGAAGCTGTCACACAGTACAGGCTGAGGCCTTGGAAAGCTGACCCCTTATAGTTTCAAGTGACAGCTGGTTACATGAATTTCACTTTGATTCTAGTCTCCTTAGTCAAGGCTATGCCCTGGGCACTTCTGGTTTGGAGCAGAGCTGAGGCACCTTCGTTCAGGTGTCTTGATTTCCAGTTTTGGTGCTATTTCTGAAACATAGGAGGGCTTTGCATACCAGAAACCTTGATTTCTCTCCCCCCACCCCCTTGCCTCAAGCACCCAGGTGGGATGTTGTAGAGCAACAAGGAGAGAGAGGTCGTTGCCCTATTTGAATGAAATCCGCTCTTCCTCCTAAAGCCAGTCTCCATCTGGGCATTTTATACCATGCTCATCACCCTTTTTTTATCTGATCTTTGAGATACTTCTCCACTGATTTTTAAAGGTGCTAATGACTTGGAAGGGTCCAGAGATGCTGTTGTCTGTGCCCCATGGAATCTAGCACAAACACAACCATGGTGCTGTAATGAGAAGCTGCCTTTGTTCAGCTGGGTTTGTCCCCCGTTAGCCCTTTTCTCTTATTTAGCATTGTGTGCTGTATACATCTGACTGTGCTGTATACTGAAGGACTGAATCATTATCATCGTGTTAAAAAGTCCCATACCGGGAGTGCTGTAGAGTTCTGTAACACCATACATTCTGCATTTGTTGTGCTGTATTGCTTTTATTTAGGGAGGGGGTAGGGGACATGGGAGAAGGCGCTGTGGATGCTTTCGGCATGGGGCAGTTTCCCAGCACACCCTGGATCCATTAGCGGCCGCAGCTGCACAAAGCCAGCACCTTCTGTCTTGAGGGAGACTGTTACAATAGCAGAAAGGAGTTAAGGGAAGGGTATGTTGTAGGTAGCCATAGGTTGTCTTAGCCATATTCCACCTAAGGCATGGGGAGGGGAATTTATCTCACACCTGGCATGGTCTATTACAAGTGGTACCTGACCAAGATAAGGGCTGGATGCTTGTTAGCTTTTCTCTGGAACTCCAGGCTGATGCCAATAGTGGATCTGGTTTTCGTTGCACTGAGGTTTCTTATGCAGCCAGGCAGGGAGCCGCACTCTGACCCCAAACTCAGCCCTGGTCTACACTACAGAGTTCGGCTGACGTAAGGCAGCTTACATCGACCTGATGACGACTTAATAACTCCACTTCTGTGAGCAGCGTAGCGCTTAGATCGATGCAGAGTCAGTGTAGACATTGTGTTGCTTCCATCGGCTGTTGCTGCCTTGCACAAGCCCTCCCACGACGCCCCACGCTGACTGTTAAATCGGTGCAAGCGCTCCTGGTAAGGATGCACACTGCTGACACAAGCAGCGTAGTGTGGATGTGCAAAAGCAGTTTAATTACTGCGGTTGCTGTAAGTTGAAGTACCTTAGGATGACTTAATTTTGTAGTGTAGACTTGCCCTTGGCAACTTTCAATCCTAATGGATTGGGGAAGGAATCACTTAATGAGTAATGGGAAGTAAAGATCCACCTGCCCCTCAAGCTCCCGGACCTGTTAATCTCTCCCTTCCTGTGGGACATTATGAGACCACCACTTGCTGCTTTTGCCATTTGCCACACAGTACTGAGCTGCTGAAGTAACTCCATGATACTTGGCAGTCACAAGAAGCCTTTGCTGTTTGGTTGGTTGGTTTTTAAGGGGCTAAGTCAGTTGACAGAGGTTGGCCGGAGTGGAGAAAATCCACTTGTGGGTTAAAATGGGGTGTTAATTTTTAACTTGTTGAGAGATGGGGGCCCAGCCGCAAGGTTTTATGGATATGGAAACCTGGAGGGGTGTGGGTTTGGCCCACTGGAGATCAGGGTAACCCAGATCCCTCCGCGTTCTAGACTGCCCAGAGCCAGAGTTTTCATTGGAGCTTAACGAACTGAGGGACCTACAGCCTCTGAAATAACATGGTAGCGATTTCACCTTTAAATCTGCTCCACTAGCTTTGCTCTAAAATTCAGTCAGTCTTAAAAAGTTTCACATAAATGAGGCCACCCTGACCTCTGCTCCCCTCTCTCTTCTAAAGCAGATGGAAGGAGTGTTTTAGCCCAGGCCAAAGCTGCTCCCTTGCCTTGGAAGAGAGAACAGATTATTCTTGGCTCCTCCAAAGCAAGGGCAGCCCATCCAGTAGCCTTGATTCTCATTAGCAACCCCTGGGGATTCAGGAGGACGGGTGTCGCATGCAGGGCCTGCAAGACAGGTGACCTCTCCCTTCCGTCACTGGGCTAGAGGCATAATGAAAGGAGTGACCTTTGTCCACGGGCTCCTGCCAGTTGTCCCTGGTGCTCTCTGGGAGCAGGACGGCGGCTCTTTGACACACGGCTCTCCAGGTCGAACAAGGTCTTGCTCTCTGTCCCACACCTCACAGCAGCAGCCCAAGGAACCAGGTCCCGGGATTTGCCTTCCCACAGCAAAAAACAAAACAAAACCCCAACAGTCTTCGTTTGTATGGGACTGCAGTAGTGCAAGAATCCACCTGACACCTTTCCTTCAACCAATAGCTGGCTGTTTTATATGGAGAGCTTTTACGATCAATAATGGAAGAAAATAAAAAAACCCACAAAAATAAATCTCTGAAAAGCTTAACCACACGAGTGTAGTATCTCTATAAAAGAAAATACCTATGTATGAATATATATAGAAATATATCGACATATATCAACTTTCCTGAATGGATGCACAATTCCTTATGCAATGAAATTGTTTTTAGATGTATCCAAACCTGGACTCCCTGACCCTCCCTCCCTGCTACAGGTTTGTTGTACAATTCTTGACTTGCTCTGCCTTTCGCAACAAAATGAGAGGAGGTGCAGGCAGGTCACACTAGCAAATAAAAAATGTTCTTCACCTAAGTGCTCCTGTGAGCAGGTCCTCACAATTTCGCATTAGCCTGTGCCATGGATTCCTGTTGACCTTTGTGTCCGCAGGGGCGGAGGAGAGTCGTGGCACAGCCCTGTGTTGTATTTTGCTGTTTAAAAACAAAATCCTGGCACTTATCAATTTGTTCCTTCAGCCACTGTTCTTACCAAACATATAATGTGCCTTTTATTTATGCTGCAAATATAACATTAAAATATTAACAAGGATAAACTCTCTGCTGTGTGATTCCATTACAGGAAGACCCCAACAGGCATACGCCGCGGGGATCTTCACCGTACAGACATTTCTCTCTCTCCTAGTTTTCTATCCGTTGCTTTTTTTCCGTGTGTTGTCATCACAGGCCTGATGTTTGTGAACAGGCAGAAGGTTGCATAGATGACCCCTTTCCACACCAGAGGCAGCTGCTCCCAGAATAGCAGGCCACCTGGTGTAGTATCACAGCATCTATTCCACCCTGCCTTGTCCAGGAGTGTCTGACCCGGAGAGAGCTGTGATCCTTACACATTCCACTAGCTCAGCAGTATCAGCCTGGTCAGTGCTTGGATGGGAGGCCATCTGAATGCACCCAAGTGCTGCCCAGAGTGGTGTTGCTGCCCCTACAGGGGGCATTCCTTCCTGGGAATTGACACTCACCCAGTATCCCATGGCATGCTTGGCTGGAATGATTTAGTTGGGGTTGGTCTAGATGACATCCTGAGGTCTCTTCCAACCCTAATCTTCTATGATTCTGTGCTCAGCAGCTGGAAGAGGTTAAGGGAGAAATAAGAGGAACCAGACTGAACTCAGTTTTGGTGCTCTGAGGGCTAATGCCCTAAGGGAAGAAGCTTGGTTGGTTGATTTATTGCTGAGTGGTCAGATTTAGCCCTGACTTCTTAACGGCAGAGGGGCCGGGCTGACCAAGTTCACAGCTGTGTTGTAATACAAGGTGCAATACTATGTGATTGTTACAGACTCTGGGCAACCTGTACATCTCCGGGCAAGCCCTAGGTTAGATTGCTGATGCGGCTCCATTTCCTCTGCAATTGTGGCTCTCTGAAGACCACCATAAGGGTACGTCTACACTGCCATTAGACACCCAGGCCTGGTCCATGCCAGCTGGCTTGGGCTAAGTGGCTGTTCAGTTGCAGTGCAGACATTCGGGCTCTGGCCGCAGCCCGAGATCTGGAATCCTCCCACCTTGCAAGGTGCTTGAGCCCAGGCTCCAGCCCGAGCCCCAACATCTACACCACAATTAAACAGCCCCTTTACCTCAGTTGGACCGCTGCTTGTCTAATGGCAGTGTAGCCATACTCCAAATGTGTTGCTCAGCAAGATCTCCTCATTCCTGTAGAAAGCAGAGCACTATGGGAATAACAGTCCCCTTCGAACAGGAACTTGTCCTGTACCCAATTGTCCTGACACCCCAGAATCTCTGCAACATTAGCAGCACACCGCTGTCCTCCAGTGGGCTGCTACTAGAAATAAGGCACAAATTTGTAACAGGGTGATTGACTACTGGAACAAACCACCACTGGAAGAGGTGCATTCTCCATCTCTTGAGGTCTTCAGACCCAGACCGGAAGAGACGCTTTAATCACACACCAGTTCTGAGGCTCAGTATAGGAATAACTGGATGAAATTCTCTGGCTGGTGTCATTCAGGAGGTCAGACCAGATGATCTGATGGTCCCTTGTGGTGGTAAAATCTATGGATCTCTGAATTTAGACTTTGAAAAAGTTCCCTCATAAGAGGCTACTAAAGAAGTTCAGTGGTAAGGCAAAGTGGCGCAGAAACTGGCTAAGAGACCGGAAACTAAGAATAGGAATAAATGGTCAGTTTTCATCCCGGCCAAAGGTTGTCACTACTTTGAGGTTCTGTGCTAGGGCAGGTGAGCTGTGAGGTTCTCAGGAGGGGGCGTGGCAGGGGAGAAGGAAGGTCCAGAGAAGATGGTGAGGAACTTGAGACAGACCTGACCAAGGTAAGTGAGTGGAGAACACAGGCGCAGATTGAATTTAATGGTTAAAGTAATGCACGTCCGAGGGAGAAAAAATTGGAACGCTTCCTGAATCTTACTGAGTTTTGAATCAGGAAAGGGGCTGGGGCGACATGGGAGCTAGCTCCATGAAGTCCTCTGCTCAATGTGCTGTTGCAGTTGAGAAAAACTAACCGGGTTAGAACACAGAAGGAACGGATGGTGAATAATCCTGAGAAGATGTTGCATTAGAGGAATCAGTGGTGCAGCCTCATCTGGCTATGGTGTGCAGCACTGGCCAGCCCATGAAAAGGAAGGAGAGTGCAGGCCCAGGGGGGTTACAAGAAGGGTGATGAGAATGACCAGGGGCCTGGAAAAGTTCTTGTAGGGACGGTGGGATTGTTTACCATCGAGAGGAGGCGAATAAGAGCAGACCGGATCGATGTGCACAATGCAGTGAATGGGAGGGAGAAGGGGTGTTGGGAGCTTCTGTTCTCCTTGTTTCAAGAGACAAGAGCAAGGGGACATTTAGGGAAAGATGACAAACACTGATCAAAGGAAATATTTCCTTATAGAATGGGATGTAGACTCTGAAACTCCCTGCCCCAGGACACTGCTGAGCCCAAGAGCTGTGCATCACCCAGAAAGGCACTGGACATTTCTCTGGCCAACCGGAGTAGCCAGAGCTAGACTAGCTAATGCTGATAGTGGAAGGCTGATATAGCTGATCTCTGTCAGGGGGGTTGAAGAGACTGCCCTGGAGGTAGATTATCCCCCAGCAGCAGCCTATTGCAGCTTTAGCGCCTTCCTGCTGGTTCCCGTCAGAGACAGGACACTGGACGCGGGGGACTTCAGTCTGGCAATTCTGCCATTCCCAAGGAGCTGTGCCTCGGTGGGCCTCGCGGGTGAGTCACATACACAACTCCCACGCACTTCCTCAGCAGCTGGCTTCAGGCTCTCTCTGCACCTGGACCCATAGATCTCAAGGGGTGGAGCGTTCTGAGCCCTGCAGCCCTCCCCTGGGGCTACCCTAGATGAAGGTACCTGCTGGGAAGGAGCGATGTGACAGGGGTGAAGGCAAGAGCTGGCAGTGATTACTCAAGCTGCATGGGCACGGCCTGGCCCCTGGCATGCAAGGGGTTAACTCCCGTTTCCCTTCTCCTGTGGGACAGGGTGCCTGGACACATGGGGCAGAGGCTTGCAGTAAGCGGGGTTCTCTCGCCCAGGCTCGGAGGGAGAGCCCCAGCTGGGGCAGTGATTCTTCTGCTCCAGAGGTGGCGGGTGCTGGACAGGCCACTCTGTCTTCTGTTTGATTCAGTCGTACCCCAGCTCTCGTGGCTTCCAGGCCCCTGATCTCACCCCTCAACCAGCTCCTGCCTTTGGCCTTGGAGCCCGAAGGATGCTGGCAAGGGGCAGACCAAGCCCACCCGCTGCCTTCCTGGAGGGGGGCTGTGGTTTCAGATGGTGCCCTGCTGGGCCTGGGGGAGGGGAGGCCGGGGGAGAGACCCAGCTGAGGTCTAAGGGAGATGGGTTGGTGCAAAGGCAGCAGCCTCTGAGGCTGTACCGCTGCAGAGCAGTGACAACACCCCCCTGTCTCCTCGGTGTGATCCCCGGGCGCGCCGGCCTCAGCCCCTCTCCAGTCAGTTGAGGGTTTGGTGCCTGTCTTGGCAATTGCGTGGGGACAAGGAATCAGTGCTAATACAGTGGGGCCCTGATCTCAGGTGGGCTCTAGCCCGCCACTGTAATAAACACCATTAACGTCAGAATGGCCAGACTGGGTCAGCCCAAAGGTCCATCCAGCCCTGTGTCCTGTCTTCCGACAGTGCCCAATGCCCGGCGCTTCAGAGGGAATGAACAGAGCAGGTCATCATCAAGTGATCCATCCGCTGTCGCCCATTCCCAGATTCTGGCAAACAGAGGCTAGGGCACAGGTGGGCAAACTACGGCCCGCGGGACCATCCTGCCTGGCCTTTGAGCTCCCAGCCAGGGAGGCTAGCCCCCGGCCCCTCCCCTGCTGTCTCCCCTTCCCTGCAGCCTCAGCTCGGCAAGCTGCCTGCAATCTGGACGGCAGGGCTTGCTCCAACTGGACCGTGCAGCTGTGAGCTCCTGCCGCTCTAAGCAGCACGGTAAGGGGGTGGGGAGCAGGGGAGTTGGATAAGGGGCAGAGGGTCCCGGGGGATAGTCAGGGGACAGGGAGCGGGGGGGGGGGGTTTGGATAGGGGTTGGGGGTCCCAGGAGGTGGCAGTCAGGGGACAAGGAGTAGGGGGGGTTGGATGGGTTGGAGGTTCTGAGATGTGTGGGAAGTGGGGGGGCAGATGGGACCAGGGGCCAGGCTGTTTGGGGAGGCACAGCCTTCTCCTCCCCCCCCCCCCCCCAGGCCCTCCATACAGTTTCACAAGCCCGATGTGCCCCTTGGGCCAAAAAGTTTGCCCACCCCTGGGCTAGGGCCACCTAGGCTAATAATAACAAACAGGTGCTAAAATTATTTCCACTCCACCCCCACCTTACAGCCATCTTCCTCAAACGGCCGAAAACCAAGTCCCCGCTTCAGGAAAATAAGCCCAAGGTAACCGTCCCGTGTGTGTGTTACAGGTCCTCCGCTGTACCAATGTGCACAGCATAGCAGGTGTTACAGCCCCCAGCTCTGCTCTTCAGCTCCAGCTCTTAGTTCTGGAGGGGTCTGGTTTAACCTCCGGGGCACTGGCCGAGAGGGCACCTCTCATGTATTCACCTTTCTGCAATCTGGCCATGTGCTGCTCAGGGCTGACACATCTTAGCTGAGCCCTCTTCCACCCCTTCCCCCAACCTCAGCCTTCATACCCCACATACTTTGGAAGGTGCCAGCAGAAGTCTTCAACATGATCCTTCCTCTCCTTTGTGCCATGTTCTGATGAGCAGCGAAATACTTCACAATGTTGCATTTAAAAAGCTAACTGGGATGTGAATGGCGACACCCACTCAGATGAGCCAAGGTGTGACCTACATGGAGCTGTCCTCTGAGACTCTCTGCAAACTCTGGCAGGGGGTGGGGTGTTAGTTACACTGCTCAGGACAATTCCCCCATCTCAGAGCCATTGTCTCAGGCTCTCTGCAAACTCAGACCAACATCTTGGCCTCAGTCACACTGGGATCATGTCCTCAAAGATTTCTTTACAACTCCAACAGCTAGAGAATGATTAAAAAAAAAATGATAAAAGCCGAGATGCGGGGGGGACAATTGGGAAGTTGGTCTGCTCTCTCGGGCTAGTCCTTGGCCCAC